AGGCAATCCACTCACCTCAGCCTCCCAAAGGCGCGGGATTACAGGCTGAGCTACCGAGCCGGCTGAAGTCAGACTTTAAACACTCACCTAGAGCTCCCTAAAGATGAAGACACCACTACAGTCCAGGCCCATTTCTCACCACACACACACAATGTTTTCCAGTGCCCTAAACAGCCCTCTCCCCCATTCCCAACTTGATGTGTGCCATCACTTCACTGGGAACACTCTTCACCATCCGTTCTTTACTCTGGCAACAACGTTTTTCAAAAAAATTTTCTTTGAGTCAGGGTCTCTGTTGCACAGTCTAGAGTACAATGTCACAATCACGGCTCACCGAAGCCCTGACCTCTTGGGTTCAGGTGATCCTTCTGCCTCAACCTCCCCACTAGTACATAACTAATTTTTTAATTTTTTTGTGGAGACAAGATGTTGTCCAGGCTGGTCTCAAACTCCTGGGCTCGAGCAATCCTACCGCCTTGCCCTTCCAACGTGCTAGGATTACAGGTGTGAGCCACCTTGCTCAGCCACTCATCATATTTTAATGTAATTACTTGCATACTATAAGCTTATAGAGAGGAGGGAACAAGTTGTTCACTACTGTATCTTCAATCCCAGGCAGAGCAGTGGGCAGACAGGCTGCTCTCAAAAGATCTGGAGAGATAAACTAATGATTCATTATATAAAGATTTTTTTTTTGAGGTGGAGTCTTACTCTGTCGCCCAGGCTGGAGTGCAGTGGCATGCTCACGGACCTGCTGGGCTCAGGCAATCCTTCCGCATCAGCCTTCCAAGTAGCTGGAACTACAGTCACATGCCACTACGCCCGGCTAATTTTTTGATTCATTGTAGTAATGAGGTCTCTCACCAAGTTGCCCAGGCTGGTCTCAAACCCGTAGGCTCAGGCAATCCTCTGACCTCAGCCTTCCAAAGTGCTGGGATTATAGGCGTGAGCCACCGTGCCTGGCCTAGAAAGAATTTTTAATGGAAAATAAACAGGGATAGAGAACAAAGATTTTATTTCTATTTACTCTTCGTAGAGGGAAACTAATAGGAGAAAAATTCCCAAATTCTTCTTGAAGCTCTTGTCAAGTGAACTTCAGTCAGGCTGTTAAGTGTGATGTGAGAATTGTAGATATCAGAGAACATCATCTAGTGTTATTGGTGTTACAATGGTGGCTGCAATGGCAAGTTTTGCCCCAATATTGTTTAATTATTCAAGTGGGTATGTTATTGCATTTGGGTTTAAATAACAGCAAAAGAGTTTAAATAACAGAGTGGATAATCTGAATTGTGAAATGAAGAACATATTGGAAATAGCCTCTGCTGTGTTCTGAATGTATCCCTCCAAAACTCATGCACTGAAACTTAATCACCATTGTGACAGTATTAAGAGGTAGGGTCTTTAGGAGGTGATTAAGTCATGAGAGCAGAGGCCACACAAAAGGGATTAGTGACCTTATCAAAGAGGCGTGCGAGAGCTATTTGCCCCTTCTGCCCTGTGAGGACACATGGAAGGCACCATCTATGAGGAATGGGTCCTCCTCAAACCTGCTGGCACCATGATCTTGGATTTCCCGGACTCCTAAACTGTAAGAAATAAATGTCTGTTACTTATAAATTACCTAGTCTAAAATATTTATGTTACAGCAACCTGAATGGACTAAGAGAGCCTTTCAGCACCTTGTGTTAGGAGACACTCTTTCATGGGTTTCTCACCCTGCATGTCCTCCTGGGCATGCCAAGAATGCAAGGTCCATATGCTCTTTACCTGGGCAACTTCTCAAGGTTGTGTTGGCAGCAAGCAACTTTGATAGATGACATAGTACTTCCCCGAAACAAAAAGCAAGCTTCCTCACGGGCTGCTATGAGGCAGCGGTTCCTGGGCTCAGGGCTCCTCTTACAAAATGCAACCCACTGTGCGTGCAGCAGCCAGGTAGACCCCTTATGTTGCCCCAGAGACATGGGGAAATGACACAAACTAACATGAAACTCATGAGAAGTAAAGTCCTTTGTCTCTGACCCAGTACTCCTGTTTCTGCCAACATCCATAAAAGAGCAAGAGGGGCACTTACTAATGTGTATGTAGGGTAAACCCCAGGTCCTTCATGGTTCTAGATATCCGCTGACACTTACCTGGACTACCCATAGGCCCGGGGAGTCCTGGTTGGCCTGGCATCCCTGGAGCGCCTCTTTCACAGGAATGGCCAGGGGGGCCTGGGACACCTGGAAACCCAACACTTCCCTCTCTGCCTTTGGGACCTTTACGGCCTGGGAATCCAGGAATGCCATCTGCTCCTGAAATGGTACAATGCATCCATAACATCCATAAAACTACAAGATGGCTCACAACCACTTGTTCATGCATATAAGTACTGGAAGTGAACATTCTGACCCTGAATCGATGCTCAAATGGGATACGTCTCTAAATGGATTTTTTATTTGAATCACAGATGTAGTGAGTTACAAAGAAATAGAAAAACTATGCTGAGTTACTTGATAAGGTTATGTGGACTACAGAGAAGTTTTCTATGCAAATAAGAAACCACTTGGCTCTTCCTGATTTTAATTAACTTTTAACTTTGTGACAGGCTTTACAGCAACTCTCTACAACACTTACCCACTTGCTTGCATTTTGTAAGAGATTTCAACACTTGCACCCCCAGATGTCTACATATTGGAAAGATAGTGTCATAATCTTCAGGAAAAAAAAAATCCACATAATTCCTCATCCTTCTTATTTTATTTATTTACTATTTTATTTTATTTTTTATTATAGAGATGTGGGATACAAGTGAAGGTTAGCTACATAAGTAGGATGCATGCAGATGAAGTTGCACTTCTAATTGGTCCTTACTTTGTTTTTCTATACTTCTTTCTATTTTTGGTTCATATGTTTAGGTTTTACAAATAGTCATCACAATACACATTTAGTTGTCGCATTATTTCAGTTTGCAAATTAACCTGAAATGTTTTTCATTTTGTTTCAGTCTTTACAAACATTATTTTAATTGTTGATAGATGACTAGTGTTCCTCTGAGTGTGTGTGTTACTTGACTCTATGTATTGTTTCCAATTATTCTTCTATGTGGATAATACTACAAGAATATTTTTATATCTATAACCTTCTTCTGCTGAACCCTACCTTTTGATCCATTTTTACTAGTAAGATAGTGGGATTACCTCATCAAAACTAATTTATGGACTCACACAATGTATTATCTTGTTGCTTTCCAATTAATTTTTTCTTTGTATGTGAATATTTTGATTTACAAACGTCCATGCAAGTTGCTTGAGGGCAAAGGTAGCAGCCGATTCCCCTCCTCTCCTCCATCTGCCCTGTACTAACTACTCAAGAGGATACTTAATAAATACTGGTCCAATAAAATCTGCAAAATTGCACTGAGGATCCTGAAGAATCCTTAGTGATTTCAGAAAAAGGTATGAATCAGTGCCTGGGTCATCTGCCCATCTTGTGTTTCACTGTCCTGTCTACCACCCCAGCTGGAGCAAAGGTCTCTCTACTCTGTCACCTGTCCAAAGATAGCTTGCTCTATAGAGTTCAGCTTGTGCCTAGCTCTGCCTCATAGCCTTCCAGGGCCTCAGCCCACACTGCTCCAGCCTCTAAGCCACTCTTCCTCCTACACTCTGTCCTGCCACCTTCCACCTGGCAATGGCAGCAGGCAAGCTACACAGTCCCTGCTCTTGGGGTTTTGCAGTACTAACATACTGCCTGGCAGATGTCTACTAGCTGTCAAATTGAATTGAGTTTACTGAGCCACAGGAAGCTGCCCTGTATTTGAAAACAACCAATTGAATGCAAAGGCATTCAGGTTATTTGAAATGTAATCAGTGCTTCTATAAGAGGAAAAATACTTGGGTGAAAATTTTGCATTCTACATACCTAAAACAGTCTAAGCATTCTTCAGTGACCTGTTCCAAAACAGAACCAGCTTTGTGGACCATGGGGACAGCAGAGCCAGCATACCTTCAGCCCCGGGGCATCCTGGTTCACCTTTGGATCCTTTTGTCCCTGGCAGTCCTGAAAGACCCCTCTTTCCTGGAGGCCCTGGGTGACCAAATGCAGGGTCTCCCGGAATTCCTTTCTGACCATGCATTCCAGGTGACCCAGGAGGGCCTGGGGGTCCAACAAGGGAAGATCCTTTTTCACCTCCAAAACCTGGATCTCCCATGTCACCACGAAAACCTATTTAACAAAAAGTAAAATTTAATTATTGCAATATAGAACCAAGAAATACAAGACTACTTATTTGATTAAAACACATTTCTTAAAAATGCAGAGGTACTTCCTAAAATTAAGAGTGGCTTGAGAGGTTGGGAAGATGGTGGCCAAACCAGTCAGAATATGTGAGTCCCTTTGTGAGTGAGTGAGCGTATGGAAAATTGTGTACATGCTGCTGAGTGAGTGGGCACATAAGTGACTGACAGAGTGAGGGCTAGGGAGCAAGCGGGCAGTCCTCTCCTGGTGCAGCGGCTGGTGCCACAGCGGCTGGGCCCAGACCCTAGCGATTCCCGGGACACAGAAGCCAAGCACCATTTTCTTTATCTTTCTTTTTTATTTTTTTAAATCAACAAACTCTCCCTGGGAGGAAAATGCTGGGAGAGATTGTCTAAGTGGGGGCTTGTGAGCAAGTGGCCAGGCCCCTGGTGCAACAGCTGGTACTGCAACTTCTCTGCTTTGTTCCTGGGTCTTCCCAGGTCACAGAAGTCGAGCACCATTATTTTTTTTTTAAACGGACAAAAGCAGTGAGGAGAAAATACTGCTCCAGGCTCTCCCCAACTGGTGTAGCAGGAGAGAGACTGACGGCTCCTGGTTTTGCCTCACCACTTCAACACCTGGCAGGGTACTGGCAGCAGGAGCGAGGGAAGGAGTCCAGAGGCAAAGTCCCATGGAAAAGGACAAGAGAGACACTCCACCAATATATTGAAGGTGAGGCAGGAAACTGCTCCAACTCGCTCACCACAGAGCAACAGACCTGACCTCTGTGACTGGCAGATCAACTACTCAGGGATTGATCATGACCCAGAGGGAATATCCTGAAAACACAAACTTCGGAGGGACCTGATGAGTACTGAGTTCCAGGCACCCCACCCCCTACACTGATTCAGCTGAGGGACAAAGGGTGTGGTCAGAAAAGGACAAGGAAGAACTCCAAAGAGATCAGTGGTGAGTCTGGGGCTGATCCAAACCCCTTCCTCCCCAGCAATCTTCTGAACATCAGACCCACACAGCTGGGCCACCACTGAGAGGGAAAAATCCAGGCAGAGCCTGGACGTCAGTCGCAATAGGAGAGCTCCATTCCAGGATAAGCCTGGCTGGGGCACCTCCTGCTAGTACATACCTGGAAAAGGGACAATCCTGTACCTCCCCACTGGGGAGATCTCGCTGACCATATGAGGATGGGAGGGGAGGACTGCAGCCCCACCCACTTCCACTGCCCATCCCCCTTCCCTGCTCTGGACACTGAGGAGAGAGTGAAAGAGGTGGCTCTGCAGGACAGACCTGATTTGAAGAACAATTACAGAACCTGCCACAAGAGGGAAAGTTTTTTTTCCAATTTTTTTTAAATTTTAAAATTGTTTTTGACTGTTGACCTATTTTTAAAATATTTTTCCTTTGTGCATGAATGTGTATGTGAGGGTTTGATCTGCTCCCCCCCAAATATTTTTTCTTTTATTTTTCTATTTCTTCTTTTATTTGTCATTTTCTGTTTATGTGTGTATGTGAATGAGTGTTCGTCTTTCAATTTTGTTGTTGTTGTTGGTTTGTTTTTGCTCTTTTGTTCTTCAGGGTTTTTTTATTTTCATTTTTTATAATTTAAGGTGTGTGTCAATATATGTGTGAGGGTTTGACCTGAATTCTCTTTTTTTTTTCTTTCCTCTGGTCTTTCTGTTTTTCTTTTATATTACCTTATGCTAGGTGTGTGTGTGTGTGTGTGTGTGTGTGTGTGTGTGTGTGTTTAGTTTTCTTGGTTTGTTATTGTTTGTTTTGCTTCACTTTGTTGTTATTCCAGTTTGTTATTGGGTGTGTGTATGTGTGTATATGTCTCTGTGTGTGTTCAATTGTTTTTTGCAATGATTTCTGCTTTGCATTGTCATATACAGTGGTGGTGAGGAGTGAGTCTCAGGGAACACATACCACAATAAGTGAACACTGTAATTTGCAGGTAGTTTCTGAATCCTAGCACCCCCATCCCCTACTTTATTCGAATTTTTAAAACTACAAGAGATAGCAAAGCTTCCCATCCACTGTCCTAATATCAAAAGAGAACAAATTCAGAGCCTGTTCAGGGAAGAATAAAGGACTGAGCAAGCATCAGAAGGGAGAGCCTCACCCACTGACACTGAATAACAGAACTAAAGAGAAAAACAAGAGATCTGTCACAAATGAGGAAAAACCAAAGGAAGACCTCAGGCAATTTCAAGTGTACCAAAGACAAAACTCCTGAAAAATCAGAACTTGGTGCCCAAACAATGGACGTTGTCAACAACTGGCCCCAGAATATGACAGGGATTGGGGAATGAATGGAAAGAGTGACTAAGGCTCAAGAAAGACAAGATGCAACACTGAAAGAACTTGTAACAGAGATTTTGGCAATAAAAATTTTCATCCAGGAAATAATAAGATGACAAGCATGGAAAGCAGAATTAATCTAGCTGAAGAAAGAATCTCAGAATTTGAAGACTAGAACATGGAATTAAGCAATCTGTTAAAAAAAAAAAAAACATAGAAAGAAGATGCAGAAATAAAGAACAAAGCCTACAAGAGATATGTGATTATATCAAGAGGCTGAAACTATGCCTGATTGATATTCCAGAAGAAGAAAGGGAAATGGAGAACAACTTAGAGCAAGTATTCCATGAGGTAATCCAAGAAAACTTTCCCCAAAGCACCAGAGATGTGACCAGCCAAGCACTAGAGGTAAAGAGAACCCCCACAAGACATCAAAGGAGAAGACCAACCCCTAGGCACATAGTAATTTACCTACACAAAGTAGGCACAAAAGTAAAAATCCTAAAGGCAGCAAGAGGGAAAGATCAGCCTACCAACTGGGAAAACCAATCAGAATAGAGGCAGACCTATTGGTAGAAACATTACAAGCAAGAAGGAACTGGAGCCCTATATTCAAAGCCTTCAAAGATAAATAATTTCAACCAAGAATTTCCTATCTGGCCAAGCACAGCTTCATCAGTGACAAAGAATTAAAATCCTTCCCAGACATGCAATCCCTAAGAGTTTATGCAGCTTCCAGACCAGCTCTACAGGGGACACTTAAAAAGGTATTAAGCACAGAAGAAAGAAAAAAAGAATGACCACACACTTCCCGAGAGAACAACCTTCTTTTGTGATCTATTTGCCTGGAAACTCATTTTCCATCCTTTAACCTTGAGTCTGTGTGCACAGAATCAACAGAGAATACAGCACAACAAGAAACTTGAAAACACACACATACATTAACCCCAAAGCCAAAAGAAAAGAAGCAAAGGAAAAAACTTTATAAGATCCTCATGACAGTGATAAACAATCACATTTCAATAACCAGCCTGAATATGAATGGACTAAATGCACCACTGAAAAGACACAGAATGGCAAACTGAATAAGAAACCATGACCCAATTATTTGCTGCATCCAGGAGACTCTAACTACAAGGGATGCACACAGACTCAAGGTTAAAGGATGGAAAATGAGTTTCCAGGCAAATAGATCACAAAAGAAGGCAGGAGTTGCAATCTTAATATCAGACAAAACAACCTTTAAGCTATCAAAAATTTAAAAAGATGCAAAAAGACACTACATAATGATAAGAGGTTCAATCCATCAACAAGAAATACCCATCCTAAACATATATGCACCCAACACAGGAGCACCAGTATTTATAAAGCAACTACTAAGTGAACTAAAAAATGATATTGACTCTAACACTATTATAGCAGTGGACTTGAATACTCCACTAACAACCCTAGATACATCATCAATGCAAAAAATCAACAAGGAGATCCAGAACCTAAACTTGACACTCAACTGAGTGGACTTAATAGATACCTACAGATTATTCCACCCAATAACCACAGAATTTACATTCTACACATCACCTATTGGAACATAATCCAAGATTGATTACATTCTTGGCCATAAATCAAGCATAAAAATATTCCATAAGGTTGATATCTTGCCATGCACACTCTCAGACCACAGTGGAATAAAAATAAATATCAACATCAACAAAATTTTGCCAAAGCCTACAAAGACATGGACACTAAACAACATGATGCTGAAAAACTACTGGGTCAACATTGAAATCAAAGCAGAAATTAATGAAAACACATGAAAATGAAGAAACATCTTACCAAAACCTCTGGGATGCCATGAAAACAGTTCTAAGAAGGGCATTTATATCTCTATGAGCACACATCAAGAAAATGGAAAGATTACAAGTGGAAAGCCTAACAGATCACCTAAGGGAGCTGGAAAGAGAAGACCACCAAAACCCCAAGTTTAACCGAAGAATCCAAATCACCAAAATAAGAGCCCAAATATGGGACATAGAAGACAAAAATATCATAGAAAATATCAGCAAAACAAAAAGCTAGTTCTTTGAAAGAATTAACAAGATTGATGGACCCCTTACCTGAATGACCAAGAAAATGAAAGAAAAAGCCTAAATAAACATAATCAGAAATACAAAAGATCAAATTACAACTGATCCCAAAGAAACACAAAAGATTATCACAGATTACTATATACACCTATATTGAAACAAACTTGAAAACCTAAATGAAATGGAGGACTTTCTGACATCACACAACCTCCCCAGGTTGAAACAAGAAGACATTGAGACACTAAGTAGAACAATAACAACCAAGGAAATTGACTCTGTCATACGAAAACTACATACCAAATAAAGTCCTTGATCGGATGGCTTTCCAGCAGAATTCTACAAAATGTTCAAGGAGGAGCTGATACCAATCCTTTTGAAAGTATTCTAGGCAATTGAAAAAGATAGAATTCTCCCCAAATCATTTTACAAAGCTAACATCACACTGATATCCAAAGCGGGTAATGATCAAACAAAAAAAAGAGAACTACAGGCCAATATCCCTTATGAACACAGATGCAAAAATCCTCAACAAGATTCTAGCAAATTGGATCCAAAAACACATCTCAAAAATCATCCACCATGACCAGGTAGGCTTCATCCCTAGGATGCAGGGCTGGTTCAACATACGTAAGCCCATAAATGTAATTAAATACATCAACTGATGTTAAAACAAGAACCACATGATTATCTCATTAGATGCAGAGAAAGCTTTTGATAGAATCCAGCATCCCTTCTTGATAAAGACCCTCTAACACCTAGGTATAGAAGGAACATACCTCAAAATAGTAAGTGTTATCTATGATAAACCCATAGCTAACATATTGCTAAGTGGACAGAGACTGGAAACATTTCCCCTGAAAACTGGAACAAGACAAGGCTGCCCACTCTCACCCCTCTTGTTCAACATTGTGTTGGAAGTCCTAACTTGGGAAATTAGGCAAGAGAAGGAAATTTGGGGTATCCAAATAGGAAAAGAGGAAGTCAAGTTGTCCCTCTTTGCTGATGATATGATCCTATACCTTGAAAATCCAAGAGAACCTGTCAAAAACCTGCTTGCAGTGATAAAGGACTTTGGCAAAGTCTCAAGGTACAAAATAAATGTGCAAAAGACAGATTGCATTCCTATACACCAACAACAAGCAGGCAGAGACCCAAATTAAAAGCATAATCCCACCCACAATAGCCACCAAAAAATGAAATACCTCAGCATCTTCCTAACCAGAGAAGTGAAAGAGCTTTACAATGAGAACTACAAAACATTGCTCAAAGAAATCCAAGAAGATACAAACAAATGGAAAAATATTCCATGCTCATGGATAGGAAGAATCAACATTGTTAACATGTCCATCCTACCAAAGGCAATCTACAGATTCAGCGCAATACCCATTAAGTTGCTAGTATCATTCTTCTCAGACTTGGAAATGACAATACAGAAATTAATATGGAAACATGAATGACCACAAATAGCCAAAACAATCCCTAGCAAAAGAAACAAAGTAGGAGTTATTACACTTCTGACTTCAAACTTTACCATAAGGCTACATTAATCAAAACAGCCTGGTATTGGTACAAGAACAGGCACATAGACCAATGGAATAGGATAGAGATTCCAGAAGCAAAGCCTCTATTTCTCAACCCACTCATCTTTGACAAAACCTCCAACAACAATCACTGGGGAGAGGAGAACCTATTCAGTAAATGGTGCTGGGAAAACTGACTGATCACATGCAGAAGATTGAAACATGAACGCTACCTACCGCCATATACAAAAATTAACTCTAAATGGATCGAAGACCTAAACATTAAACCCCAAACTATAAGAATCCTAGAAAACACAGGAGACACCCTTATGGCAATTGGAACTGGCAACCAATTCTTATTCAGAACCCTAAATGCCCATACCTTAAGAAATAAGATAGACAAGTGGGACCTCATCAAACTAAAGTGCTTCTGCAAAGCAAAAAATACCATCAAGAGAGCAGGGAGACAGCCCACAGACTAGGAAAAAATATTTGCTAGCTGTATATCTGACAAAGGCCTAACATCTAGGATCTACAAAGAACTCAAACACACCAAAAGGAAAAAACAAACAGTCCCATTACAAAGTGGACAAAAGACATGAATAGATACTTCTCAAAACAAGATATACGGGCAGCCAACAGACACATGAAAAAGTGCTCCGCCTCACTCATCATCAGAGAAATGCAAATCAAAACCACCTGAGATGACAACTAACCCCAGTAAGAATGACCATCATTAATAAAACAAGCAACAACAGATGCTGGTGAGGATGGGGAGAAAAAGGAACCCTTCTATACTGCTGATGGGAATGCAAACTCTTGCAACCTCTTTGGAAGACAGTGACAATTTCTGAAAGAACTAGAAATTGGCCTTCCATTTGACCCAGCAATTCCCCTTTGGGAATATACCCAAAGGAACTCAAATCATTCTACAAAAAGATACCTGCACATACATGTTTGTTGCAGCTCTGTTCACAATAGCAAAAACATGGAACCAACCATGTTGCCCATCGAAGCTGGACTGGGTAAAGAAAATGTGGTACATATAAACAATGGGAGACCACACAGCATAAAGAAGGGCAAACATATGGACTTTGCAGCAACTTGGATGGATTTAGAGTCGATCATACTCAGTGATCTATCACAGAAACAAAGAACAGAGTTCCATATGTTCTCACTCATAAGCGGACCTCGCACAATTATAGCACTATAAGAAAGGGATTGGCAGTAGTGGGAAACTGTCAAGGGGAGAGGGGTGGGATTGACAGTTGAGGGAAATTGCTGGGGGGGAGGAACATACCTCATCAACAAGGGCACCTGCATAATTGACGTTTGTATACCTAATCCTGAATTGTACCCCACATCTTTATAATTAAAAAAAAAGAGCAGCTTAATGGGTAATGTTTTTTGCCAACTTTTGTAGAGAGATAAATTGTAATTCTGCATTTCCTATAAGCCGATGGTGTTAACCTAATTGCTTCCATTTATTGGCAAACATCCTGGCTGAATTGAGTCGTTTCAACAGCACAGTAGAAGAATATTAGCTTATCACTCATGCTTCAAGGTGGAAGGAATCCTGGCAACTTATAAAAGTATCATCATCTAAAAGTATCATAATCTAAAAGTTATCACAACACAGCTAAGGGTCTAATGTATCAAGAAAAAGCATTTTCTCATTATGTAGGGATCCCTGGGCCATTTTATACTATTTCCTTTATAGAATATTTAAAAGTTGCTGATAGATATTCAAAGCAGAAAAAAACACTTCATTTACCAGGTGGACCTCGCATTTCTGATATTCCTGGTTTGCCACGTTGTCCTTTTTGCCCATCCAAACACCTTCGCCCAGGAGCACCATAAGGACCTGGAAATCCCTTTGGACCTAAACAATAAAACAACAAAACACAGACTCAGTAAAACAAATCAAATAAGAACAAAATGAGATAATTTTAAGTCTATGTGGAGTTAGAATATTTCTACTTTATGAAAGTAAAGATGCTGCCTATCCTGGTTTACAAAATCATCATAGGAGTTGTGCTCCAAATAAGTGTTTTATGGAGAGTAATTTTGTTAAAGCACTTTCTCAGAAACTATACTGGAAGGGAATCTTCCTGAAAGACTTTCGAACGTATACCATCATTTCAATGACTTTTTTGGTATCGTCCCATGCTAGGTCTCCAACACAAATATACAAGCATGGTCTATCATTGGAGGAGGGAAGGGATGGTGGCCAGTGTCCACGCTGATGAGAAAACACCAGTTTAAAGGCCAAAATCCATTTTCCTGCATCTTACTGCATTTCCCCTTAAATGAAATATAGGTAAAAAGCTCCTGCAAGAGGGAATTTTATTTTAAACCTGTGAGTTCCTATTAGGAGTTATCTCAGTTAAAAATAACTTATAAATCATGGACTTCATAGGAGGTATAACTGCCAACTTAAAATCTGAGTATTCACTTCTCTCGAGACCACAGCTGCAGAATCAAACTTTATATTTTACTCCATCCATGACCAGCACAAGTGAAAGTGAACATCCAGACAACTAGCAATTCTTCACCCCACTGATACAGAAGCTTGCTTCCACACTCTCCCATAACCTAGTGATGGGTGGAGTGTACTTCCTACCCTTTGATCTGGGACTTGGTCATGTGACTTGCTTTGGCCAATGGGATATTAATGATCAGGATGCAATCAGAGGTGGGTAGGGAACTGAGCCCACTCTCCTGCATTTCTGCAATCACATGAGAAGAACACAGGCTGGCCCTGTGATGGATGCATGTGGCAGCCCCAAACCTAACTTGAAGGGACCAACAGAGACCATCTTCAGCCAGCCGAACTCCAATCAACTTGCAGACCCATAAGAGAGAAAATAAATGCTTGCCATTGTAGCCCTCTGAGATTTTGAGATTGTTTACACATTGTTGCCATGAAGTTTAATGGTTAGAGAAGGTAATAAAGAGTGAGTCATCACAGGCCGGGCTCGGTGACTCAGCCTGTAATCCCAGCGCTTTGGGAGGCTGAGGTGAGTGGATTGCCTGAGCCCACGGGTTCGAGACCCACCCGGGCAACTTGGCGAAACCTCATCTCTACAATAAATCAAAAATTAGCAGGGCGTGGTAGCACACGCCTGTAGTTCCAGCTACTTGGAAGGCTGAGGCAGAAGGATGGCCGGAGCCCAGCAGGTAGAGGCTGCAGTGACTGGGAGAGGCCACTGCACTTCAGTCTGGGCAACAGAGTGAGACTCTGACTCAAAAAATAAATAAATAAAATAGTAGGTCATCATTCAACCTTTAAATATTTTGTGTAGCTAAATGGGACAAGAAAACTCATCTTTAATAGCCATACTAATACTTAATGGGTCAATTTAAGTGAACTCTGAAGAAATAAGAATTAGGCAAAATCTCTTATATAGATTTTGGGATTCATTCATCTAAAAACAAGTGATAGGTTCCAATGAAGCTATAACTTGAAGGTGCAATTAGGAATGTAGACGTGTGGGCATTTTCTGGAATGTTTCTGGTCAGAAGCTGGTTCTCTTGGAAAGTAGAGTAGAATGAAACTTGAAATTAGAAAGCGAAGTGTTATTTTTCACTCTTGGGGCACAGAAAATGAAATAAAATATAGTTTTAAAATTTTCAAAGGACAGACATTTTAACTGACATATTATCAAATCAAGGTAAATTTTGTTGCACCAAGATTTGAAAAGCCCATCTGAATTGTACTTAAACCAACAGACTAGAGACACAACTATGAATTACTACAGATGCTGATTTTTCCTAGTCCCCTAGTCCCTCAAAACCTTATAGTAACTTCAGAAATATTCTAACTAGTTGCCTAAGGATTTGCTATTGGTTTATCTGTCTTGCTGATTCTTTTACTCTGGGAGCTAGGATGGGGCAGACCCCAAAAAACAGAATTATTTTTTAGAGGGTGGGCCCCTTGTAGTACATGTTTCCCTTGCTCGGTACGTTTTCTAGGAACCCCTCAGCATCAGTGTTCCAGCTAGTATTGTGAGAGGCTGCATTCAACTTCAGTGAATTTTAGAAAACCTGCCCACACCATGCTGAGAGTTCAGCAGTTTTTGATGCCGAATGGCATGACCCCTTGACCCACCCTTCCTATTCACCAGATCTCCCTCCGAGGGTCTTTTTTTGTTGTTTGGTTTCCCAGATTGAAAAAAAAGTTCTCAAAGAGAAACTTTTTGCCAATGTGCAAGAGGGAAAGCAAAAAAGGCAGAAGTACTAAAAGGTATCAAAACTGACACGTGTATTGCATCAAATGGAGAGTACGTTAAAGGTAACTGAAGTGTAAGCATGTAAGAATAAATACACAACTTTTATAAATAAGTTCTGGGTTTTGGGGGAGTCCCCTCTAGTATGTAATACAGTAACTTCTTATGGATAATACCTGGAGGTCCATCAAGACCTGGAGGGCCTGGCCTCCCAGGGTAGGTTACGTTACAAGAAATTGTGTCACCTAGAATGAAGAAAAAAAAATGACATTCACGTAACTGATAGCCCACTGCAATGTGAGTCTCAATGGCAACTCAAGATATTTTTTTCACATAGTATATTGAGAAAGAAAAGAAGACTCCCAAGTATCCCTAGATCACTTAAATTGCTTTTATACCAAATTTCTACATTTGTCCTGAAATCTGAATTTCAACTATCAGAAGAGTTATACACATAATGGAGATAAGAAACATATTGATTCTGAAAAGTACCACTTTCAATAACTAGAAAAAATAATTTATCTGTAGGCACATGGAGATCTATTACATGGATACCTAGCACAATAGAATCAGAAGTTTCCATAAATCATGTAATAGCAGCAAGTTCAGAAGATTTGGGTCTTAGTATGGACATGGAGGAATTGTGCAGATGTAGCCAGATATGAATAACATCTACCATTTACTGAGGGTCTGCCATGGGTCAAGCCTTTGAATGTATTGCCTCATTTTTCTAATAATTTGGCAATATAGTTATTATCATCCCTCATTTTAATGGGTGAGAAAAATATAACTTCAAATTTTGAGACTCTGAGTTCCTGTCTCCTTCTAAATTGGAATGTTTCTGTTTTATGATAGAAATAGTATCTCATAATGTATTACCTTATATGCTCTCCAATCAAAGACTTATGAAGTTAATAAAAATGATGACAGTTTTTAAATCCTAGACCATGAACTTGTACCTTATCAAATACCAAGGTATTTGTCTTTCTACATTGTCAAAACAAGAACCAAAGACTTCATTTTATTCTAAAACTTCGCGATGTAGCCCAAGGTATATGTACATATTGTTAAAGAAAACAACTTAAAAAAACCTTTTATTCTACCTTCTTAAAAATTTTCAACGAAAATACTGAAAGTCACTCAATTTTTTCTGAAATTCACATAGCTTTCAAATATATTTAAAATATCTTCATTCTTCTCCCTAGAATGCTTACAAATTTTTTTTATGGACAATTGTATTTTAAATGACATACTAGTGGGGTTTTTTTGTTGTTGTTAAAATACATCGCATTATCTCAAAAGATTATATAAAATATAGATATGTTCTTTGAATATGTATATATAATATATATATAATTTTAAACAGTCAGATTGTATGAGTTCATACTGAGAAATTTTGCTATGCCAAACAAATGAAACAACAAAGCTATTTTAGCATCTTAAGGATTTGTTTTAAATATTGATTGGGCTGTAATGCTTTATTTGTTTGACTAGGTTTGAATAGCACTTGGATAGATTTTTATTCAGGTGTTATGCCATAGCTGTAATAACTTTGCTCACTTTAGCTTCCTTTATTTCATTTGACATTCTGCCATAAAAATATTCAAAATTACCTTTCTGACCCTTCAAGCCATCAGGACCCCTCACACCTGGACGGCCTGGAACTCCTGGTCGACCTCGCTCTCCCGGTGGACCAGGAAATCCCAGTCCTGGGGTCCCCACAGGTCCTACTTTGCCTGGGGGACCCGGAGGTCCAGGAAACCCTTTACCACCTGGGGCTGCGTCTTCATGATCTCCCTGGGAATGTTTACATCATAAGTCAATTACCAATCTTTGAAAGTCCTTAAACTCAAAGCATCATTGTAGGCTATAGAAACATATGCAAAAAAGTTTATAATTCCAGGAGACTGTTACTCTGCAGCAATTATAACTGAAAATAATCAACTCAGAAACTTAATGTTTTGCATGCATATTTTACATCTTTATGTACATGTATATTATTTAGGTACATGTGTTATCCCTCAAATACAGAAAGTGATGCGTGTATTATGCCTTAAATACAGAATAAGAAATTTTATGTAGAGCCACTCTCTAATACCAAATATCACAAAATATAGGAATAAACATATCAGGGGAGGTGGTGGGCTTAAACATTAAGTTTTTATGATTTGAAATTGTTTTTCTGCATTCTTATGAGAAGATACATGGATAGTACCACATCTGTGGGCAAAGAGCTAACAAATTCTTTCCCTTCCTGCATGAGAATTTGACCTTTGGAGTTCATTGTCTAACTCTGTTCCTAAAAACCTGATGAAAATCAAATTATCAACTCTGTGTTTAGGCAGTATTGCTTATGGCAAAATCAATCTCTGGTTGCAAAACTTGCATCTCGTCTGGAAGAATTATAAAGACTTGTGGAGAGTCCTTGTCGGGGTTTCCTTAAGTTGTGGCTCCTGTAACTAGCAAGTCCCCAAAAGCTGTGCTATGGAGATATCAGCAGGGGGTGAAATAGAGGCTTTCAAACCAGGGCTGCTTTCACGTCTCTACCATGTGTGGATGTCATCTCCTTGCACCCTAACTGAATGAACAGCCACAAGGACTTTTGAATACAAAGAATACCTGATGCTGTTCTGCTAGCAATTTGAGGGCCCTGCCTTCTATCCTTCTTGGTGGCCTGGTCCCAAATGTGATCTCTGATAGCCATATGGGTCTGGACTGCTTCAATAAATCTAGGAAGACCCCAGTGAATGTCCCAATTTGATCCATAGCACACTTTGGTTTTCACAATCAGATGAGTACTTTAGAACAATTACTACTCAGAGATATTGGTTTCTAAATAGTTCTTAAGTGAAAGAATGAAAGTGGCAAATATTACAAGTCTAAAAGAAAGACCATTCCCATATTTGACACAAGCAGAAAGGTTAGAAAGCTATAAACAGCATCTAACCCAATTTCCAAGCTTCTCTCTCTTATTCACTTGTATTCTATCTGAAGGGGTTCCTCTAGAATCAGAACGTGGTCCTACCCTATCAAAACACTCTCAGTGACTTCCCATTGCATATGGCAGGCAGCATAGTCTGGTGGAAATAGCACACACGTTGGGATAAGACAGACTGCAGTTTTTCTTCCTATTTTTAGCCTACCTGATAGGTGGGTAACCTTGAATTACATACCTTAAGGTTCTGATTCCTTACTATAGAATTAGGAAGATAATTGCTCTTCAGAAGACCAGTGTTATAAGGAAAACATTTAACCCTGTTTCTGTGATGTAAGCATTCAAAAATACCTTATATACTCAAGATATTTAAAGTTCCTAAGCATTGGATCATGTTCCATACCCTTTTCTTATGACATTCATTACCTACACAGTGTCTGCCCAAACATGTTTGGAAAATGCAGAAATATCATGTATCAATGGGATTTCCCATCAGCCAATACTGTGTGTCAATTCAGTGGATTTGCCTTTGTTCACACTTTCTTACTTACTACTTCCCTCATGTTCATCTTCTCCAGGAAGCAGAACTGAGCTAAGTCAGGACCTGTGTGCTCTATCCTCCTCCCCATAGTCAACTGAATAGACCTAACATCAGTGGGGTCTTTGTAAGATGCAAGAAGAAAATACACACTGTGAGAATGATGCAGAGACTGGGGACAAGAAAGTCTTACTATGACTGAACTGCCACTGAGAATTCTAGACCATCTCCAGTCATGCCATACCTTTTTTTTTTTTTTTTTAACAAATATCTTTCAGTGGCAGGACACCAATGATGATTGATTTACAGCATGCTGACATTTTACTGAGTTACAGTTGGTAGATAGAGAAGGCAGAAATGGATGTACATGTGCCCGTATAAGAAAGTGAAATTCTATAGTAGGAGGAAAATTATACATACAGGGGGTCCTGGATCCCCTTTTTCTCCAGGATATCCATCCCGACCATGTGTTCCCGACTGCCCTGGAAATCCTGGGGGCCCATCAGGACCTCTTTCTCCTTTGTGTCCTGGGAATAGAGGCCAGCAGACAGTCAAGCTCTTATCAACAGGGGGTGAAATAGAAGGATACAGAGGACAAAAGACAAAGGCAATAAATGGTCTTGACTCAGCGTTGATAGAATTTCATCTCCGTTGCCCAAAGTCACACAAACCCTGCCAAAACCAGAGGGGGAAATGACAGTTGCCATACCCATTGAATCTCTTTACTTGAGAAATGCTCTCCTTCTTTAAGCCCAACAAGGAGCTGGTGTGTAGAGGCACCAGTCACAGAATCTTCCCCTGCCTTTGTGATTCCGGACTCCTGCCCTGGCCATGATGAATGGGGAATGGTACATAGATAAGTCCTTTCCCTCAGCTAATCAGTCTTTTCTGAAATTATTTTCTTTTCTGACTTGGTAACTGACGTGGAAGAGCTCGCTTTATCCCTGGATGTAAGAACTTGGAGTTGCCTGGGTGTATGTACTCAACAGCCCAGAGAAAGTTGGTCTGACAGGAGAAAATGCAGATGGTGCAATGAGAGATGAAGGGAGAGGCTGTGGTGCTACTGGAGGCTGAAATCTGATTGCCCCCATGCAAATTCTACCTCTATCATTTCACATTTATTTAGGTAAGGCAATAAACTATGTTTTTAAAACTTACAACTAAAATATTCTTAACTAATATAAGGTGCTATAATGGAGTGAATAAATATCAGACAAGCCAAAGGAGGTCTTGTTTCAAACTCAAGTTTGCCACAAGGAGGATGTGAACATCTGACAAAAAGAATATGCATATGTTTGCAAATAAGAGACAGGGATTTGGCTCAACATTCACACAACTCTACGAAGGGCAGGGAGTATTTTCAAAAGTAGTCTCAACAATCCTAAGCTATGTAGAATTGATCTGTCATTATCGTAGAAATTAATGCAAGAGATGGTTCAATATAATTCGCGAAATATAAGGAACTACATGATTGCTTATACTCACCTTTAACTCTTGATACAACCATGTCACCTTTTGCTCCTTTGTCGCCAGGTGGTCCAGAGGCACCAGTTTTTCCCTTGAGTAATAAAAGCAATGAATAAGATTAATGGTGATGGATCAAAAATTACTCAAATTCATGTTTATCTAATCTTTCTCTTCTTCTCTCCTAAATCTCTTGGTAAAGATTCTGGCTTCCCATTCTCTCTCATCCCCTTGCCCACTTTCTAAGGTGGTCCTATCTTGGAAAATTGAGGCTCTTGAACTACATGTAAAAACTGGTGAAATCTGAATAAGTTCTGTACCTGAGTTACTAGAAATGTATCAAAGTTAATTTCCTGTTTTTGACCATGTACTCTGGTGATGTATATATGGTTATGTAAGATTTCACTGGGCGAAGCTGGTTAGATCGATGGGATCTCTCAGTATGATTGTCCAACCTCCTGTGAGTCTTCAACTATCTCAAATAAAACTTTATAATTAGCCAGGTTCGGTGGCTCAGCCTGTAATCACGCGCCTTTGGGCTGAGGTGAGTGAATTGCCTGAGCCCGCGGGTCGAGACCCGCCTGGGCAGCGAGACCTCATCTCTACAATAAATCAAAAAATCAGCCGGGCGTGGTAGCGCATGCCTGTAATTCCGGCTACTCGGAAGGCTGAGGCAGAAGGATTGCCGGAGCCCAGCAGGTCGAGGCTGCGGTGGCCGGAAGCGGCCACTGCACTCCAGTCTGGGTGACAGAGTGAGACTCCAACTCAAAAAAAAAAACAAAACTTTATAATTAAAATTAATTTTAATTATCATGGGCTTTGTAAAATAGAATTGAGAGGAAAGAAGAGGATGGGTTAACCACAAGAGCTGCCACTAGAGCTGAAGGTGGAGGCTTAGGGATAAGTTTGTGATGAAAAAGGCATGGAAATAATACGAAGCTAAGGAAAGTTAATAGGCAAAATAAGCAGGAATAAGAACCTTTGCAGTAGTCAATATGTTTCCTCTGTATACAAGTAAACAACTAATTTTGGCTGATGGACTCACCATCTTTTGACCTCAACATAGTTCTGAAACTGGACTGTTTGAGTCGTGCTTTCTAAATGTCACATGTTATTGAATAACAAACCATGTCAAAAATTTGGAAGCCTATTGTCAGTATATTAGAGTGGCCAAGCATCATATCAAATATAAAAGTACTCTACAGAGACTAAAGGTACTTATTTAGTGATATCAATAACCAAAAAACATAACCAAGAAACTGAAAAAATGACTGAGCAAACCATTTGCTTTGTTCACACAAACGCTGCTACTTTGTTTTATTTTCATGCAATCTAACAGTGTTCTCAAACAAGCTTAGCTCTTTGTTTACCTGGCCCCTACTACTTTACAAGCTGTGATGTAAAGGGGAGGAGAGGTACCAGTAAAGATAAACACAATGTCAGTATCAGTGAAAAAGCAGCCAAAAAAAATGTACATAACAAGCAATAAAAACTTCAATGGACAAAAGGGTTGAGAGCCATTCCATGTAGAGAAAAAGTAGCTTTACACACAGCCCAATATCCCTGGGAACATCACCCTAGGATAGCATCGTGTTTGTAACAATATCTGTGAGACATCAAAAAAAGTGGGTAGAGCACATTTCTTAGTAGATATCAATAAATTAGACAGAATTAGAAATCATAAAGTGCTAATATAGATTGTTGTTTTAATTCCTGTTTTTTCTGTATATGCTAAGTCATAAGTGACAAAGGAACTAGGCCAATGTATCCTCTGATAGATAAATTATCAGGACAGAAAGCTATTCGCATAGCATTGGAACCAGTTTCTCCCCAGAAAGAAAATACAGTAGTATGCTTAATAAATAAAACTTTGGTTTCTTGGAAGAATAAACCCACCCTGGGAGTCTGAGCAGTCTATTACTTAGCACATTAGAGACTCAGAATGCATGATGAATTGTTCTAATGTTCTGTAGATGAAGAATTTGAAATACTAGAAGATTGTAGACTTAGTTGTGCCAGTAAAGAAAAAAATACCAGCGCTGTTATTGGATTTCATTAAAGACACGTTTATTGAAAACATTACTGAATCATTTTTGAAAACTACAAAGTACCAGGCATTACTCTGAGTACTGAGACACAGCAGTTAACAAGACTGCTGTTAACTTGCCTTCATGGCACTTAGACTCTAGTGAAATAAATGTATAACCTAAGTGCTCCCCAGAGCAAAGGCTCTCAGCAACTTTGAGATCGAGACACAAATCCTAAGACCTGAGAGCACTAACCACTTGTGCTACCATAACAACAAAAGCGTAGCAGCAACACAAATTCCTCTCTGCCAGGCATGTCCTAGTTGTTTATACACGTCAACCACAGTATCTGTTCTGTCCAAAGGAAGCAGGTGGGTGGGCGTGGTAAGGGCTGAATCCCCCAGCCACCTCGACAACCATAGCCACAGCAGCAGAGGGAACATAATATACCTGAAACCATGAACTTCTAATGTCTCAGGGGAAGCCATAAATCTCATGTTAACAATATAAAAGTAAACAACATGAGGACACAACCAAACACTCGAAACACTCCAACAATATAGCCTGCAACAATTGTGACCTTTGCCTTGTTCTGCAGACTTCCAGACATCTTTTTCTCTCGTGCATACCTCATAGCTTACAAAAACATGACTCAATTACAATCTTACCAATAAATTGTAAGACAATGCTGTTATATCCATTTTATAAATGACGTGACGGAAGCTCAGAAAGGCCACAGAGCTCACAAACGTCAGAGATGGGATTTGAAACTGGGTCCACCAGCTCCTAGGCTCCCGTGCCATGTGCTACAGTGTCCTGTAGAGCAACCCTACCCTAGGAAATGCTATCAGGCTAAGGGAACAAATACAAAGACTTGGTTCAATCAGAGAAAAATAATTTCAAAGAACTTAAGACTACTTTTCTGTTTTCTACTTTCCTACCAACCTGTGGTTGATAGGGTCAGGGACCAGCAGGTGAGAGTGGAGAGGTAGGGAGGAGGGCGAGTACCCAATGGAGCATCTAGTAATATGTGGTTTCCTCATGCATCTCTTCTGTCTGTCCTTCCCTTTTCCTCCCTTCCATTCCCTTCCCTTCCCTTTCTTTCCTTTTTTCCCCTTTCCTAGTACCCCATGGTATGGCCCTGGTCCCCTGTGATCACATTGCAATGAAATTAATGCAGATAAGTTATATAGACAGAATCATGTACAAAACAAAGACATCAGAAATGTGGCTAGTCCAAAGAGGTAAGCCTTAGAGCAATTGAATTAAGTAAACTGTACCCATGATAACCTTAGATGAACGATCAATCTACACTCAAAGATGTTGGCCTGAAGAAGAAACTGAATAGGAAGCCACATAAATATTTTAGAGCTATTGAAATCTGTATTAAGAAGATTAAGTAGCAATACAAAAACTGACTGTGCAAAACGTTGTATCTTAAAGGCAGACTGTAAAGTGGAAACTACTTAATAATTGCAACCATGTTCATTCACCACACACGCATTAAGGGCCTGGCTCCCTATTGAGGAGATATGGCAAGTGACATGTGACAAGAGTGGTGCTGGGAGACCTTAGTCTTCATTTTCACTTAAAGTCTTCATGTTGGCACCTTCTTTTCATGAAATATTCTGATAAAAATGGAAAAGAGTACTTTTGGCTCAGTGGTTAGATCCCAGGTCACCCCAGGATTAGGTGTCTTTTTTAAGGAGAGGACAGAATGACTGTCTCCAGCCTCGAGAAGAGTCCCCAGTAGACAGCAAGTTTATTCTGAGCAACCAGGCCGCTGAGAAGCTGTGCCTCAACCTGAGTCATTCATAACTTTCAGCAAGTGAGAACCTGGCACTAAATTTCACATGAACTCTGACAAAGCCAATATTTATATCTCCAGCCTAGACCTTTCATCTGAATCTTTAAGTTGAATAGCATCCCACTGCCTACTTGACATTTGGACTTGCTTATCTTGACCGTCTCAAAAACTTGAGACGTTCCTTTCCCCGCCCACTGTCCCCTCCTTCCACTGCCTTCCTCCTCTCAGTACTTGGCAACTGCCTTTGTCCAATGGCTTAAGCCAAAAACCTTGGCTCTATCCTTTACTTATCTTTCTCTTGTATCCTATGTCCAATCAAACAGCCAATCTATTGGTTCCATCTTCAAAATATATCCAGAATCTGATCACCTCTCGCCACACCCAGCACCACCACATTAATATGTCTGCCAACATATCTCACCAGGATTATGCAGCAGCCTCCTAGCTAATCTCCCTGCTAATGCCCCTTGTCCTTATAGTCTTTTCTCCACAGAGCAAGCTCAGCAAGAGACACACTGAAAACTAATGTCAGATTATGTCTCTTCTTAAAACTCTCCCCTGGCTGTTCCATGTCATCTAGAAGAGTCAAAGCTCAAACTCAATCCACTGCAAAGGCCCATGCTCTGCAGCCCCTCCCGGCCCCCTGCCTGTTCTCTGACATCAACCCCTGCTCTGCTTCTCACTCTCTCTACTCCAGCTGCACTAGATAATCATGGCCTGTATCTCTGCCTGCCATCCTAGGCTTTTACTCGCTGATCTGTTAGATGGTCTTTATCCTCTCTGAAGCTCCAGGAGCAGGGAGACTGTGCTCTGGTACCTGCTGTATCCCCAGTACCTGAAACAATGCCTGGAACCTAGTAGGTGTTCAAGAAATATTCGCTGAATGAAGAAATGACAGAGATGGATGAAAAATTTCGATATAGGTGTTTTTAGCCTTTAATAGGATGCTCATAGGTTCAACACATAAAATGTCACACTGTAAATTAAAAATAGGTACATGAGTTTTTATCTCTGTGTGTCTCTTTTAACTGGAAAGATTAAAACTGGTCAGAACTACTTACTGGTAGCCCTGGAGATCCTTCAGCACCAGGAGGGCCCGGGTCACCTTTCTCTCCAAGCCAACCAGGGAGCCCCAAGTCTCCCTTAGTCCCCTGCCTCCCAGGAAGTCCTGGGGAGCCAGGGAGGCCCATGGGACCAGGCTTGCAGGCACACAGTCCTTCATTTCCTAGGAGGAGAATAAAAGTCAGCTTTGTCATATTTCCTGAATAAAATCCCCAATAAGGGCTTTACTCTAGAAAGCCAGTAGCACAAATGAAAAACAGAAAGAGTCTGATGTGCACAACTCTCGTGGCAGACAATTGATGACCCATGACGTGGAGGCTGGTTGTAGCATGGGGTACTGTGAGGTATCTAGGCATGGGCACAGTATTTCTAAAAATGGAGGGGTTTGTTCCTTAATAAACTCATCCCGACCAATTCTAGGGGAAAAACTGATGTCCAATTCTACTGAAGAAACTTGAAAGAGAAGAAAACTTTTTCTTTTTAAAAGTTTAAAAATCTCTTATTTGGTTACGACTGAAGAAACTAAACCACATTAATTGATTAGGGCATAAACTTAGGGCATAAACTCTGAACAATTAAGGAAACAATAATATGTGAAGGATTATTGACTGCATTGCATATTACAATCGATAATTCACCACAACACATTTTCTAATCATCAAGATTTGGGGTCTTAAAAAAAAATGTCTCAAGGTAGTCAGACTAGTCTTCTGTGTTTGTTTCATACCCACCTGACGCAGTTGCCCTAAAAGGTTCCAAACAATTTAGAGTGGAGAAATATAGAGTAATAGGCATTTGATGAGTCTGGGAAATATGGATCCCACAGAAAGAAACTGAAATAAATATCAATACTATCCTATCTCTGCCATTCTCAAAGAATCAAGACGAGCTCATGCACAAAGTCACTATTTTTTTTTTTTTTTTTGAGTTGGTGTTTCACTGCTGCCCAGGTTGGAATGCAAATGGCATGATCATGACAATCATAGCTTGATCTCCTGGGCTCAGGTGATCCTTCCACCTCAGCATCCCAAGTAACTGAACTATAGGTACACATCACCACACCCGACTAATTTTTTTTATTTTTTGTAAAGATGAGATCTCACTATGTTGCCCAAGCAGGTCTTGAACTCCTGGGCTCAAGCAATCCTCCCCCTTCAGCCTCCCACAGTGCTGGAATTACAGGCATGAGCCTCTGCGCCCAGTCCCAAAGTCACTATTTTGAAGCACATTTGATGGTAGGTAAATGTTTCCTTCATATTCTATGATATAAGGATTTGACTTTTCAGTGACATGGAGAAGTTCGGCATTCACAGGGGAGTGACTAAGGTGAATAATAAATCTGGATAAAATGCCACATTGTACATGTCAGAAATGCCCCAGTCCTCCACATGTGGTTGTCTTCTAGAAATTCTACCTTTGCTGTACTTGCCTTTTTCTCCTTTTGAGCCTCTTCCTCCTGGAGGACCCACTTTGCCTTTTATTCCTTGTGATCCAGGGTGTCCAGCACTACAGTATATCACTGCATGGGGGGGGTGGGGAGAGGGTGGGCAGAAAGAATCACATAATTTTGGCAAATGTCTTCTATAGGACAAGCATCTCCAGCACTCACAATCCTTCTCCTTATACTTTCCTTCTCAGCCCCCTTCTTTGCTCCATTCTTTTTCTAGGATTATTTCTGTCTGAAATAAAAGTATACATACATATAGATGATGCAACAGTTATGACATGCTTCTGCTACCATAATCATTGATAAAGCCTTCCTTTCTCTCAGCTCCACATTAGTGCACCATAGAATAAAGTAATGGACAACAAAACAAACAACAGGTAAACAAAACAAAGCTGGTAAACAAAAAACCTGAGTCGGTGTATGGCAAATATGTTTTTTCCTCTTCAATTATCACTCATTAGCTAATGAAAGACATACATAACAGGACTTCTAAAAGCAAAATTTCTGAGATATCAGGTTAAAGAAGACAGATTAAAACAAAGCCAGTAAGTTCAGCATTCTCCCCAAATCCCAGTAAGGTAAAATGATATTGTAAAAAGGAACAAACCTGTAGAATAAAGGAAAAGGGAGAGGAACCATCAGCCAAATAATGTAAAAGAACTTAGCAGACCCTCAAAAAGCTGAGTTTGACACAGGTAATGGGGAAAGCTGAAAAAGATCCTAATTTATGTCGAAATGTGCCCCAAAGTTCAGGAATCTGTACTTCTGGAAGAAGAATAACAGTGAGGTCCCAACAGAATGATTTGCTCAAAAAAAAACAGTTAGACTGGAAGACACCCTTCCTGAAAATTGCAGCAAGAAGAAAAAGAAGAAACAGACAATGATCTAAGACGAAAACTTTTTAAACAGGATATTATTAAAGTAGCAGATGAGGGAAGGCATTTCATCCCTGAAACATGAAGAGCCTGCTGCAAAAGAAAACATTAAAAGTGAACAACAACAAAAACTAACTGGAAATAAATATATATATATTTACATAAAATGATAGCAGAAATTTAAAAATTCAGAAGAATTGGATGATGAAGTTGAGAAAATCTTCCAGAAAGTATCCCAGAAAAATAAAGAGGTAGAAAGTAATAGATAAAGATTTTTTAAAATAGATTTTGTTAGAATTGGTTTCCTAACAAAAATAGAGTACAGAAAGAAAAAAAAGAGAAAGAAATAGAGGAGAGAATGTCTTCAAAGAAGCACTTCAGGTTAAGTGTGGTGGCTCACACCTGTAATCTCAGCATTCTGGGAGGCTGAGGATTGCTTGAGCCCAGAACTCACATTTACAAAAAAATTAGCAGGATATGGTGGTGAGTGCCTGTACTCCCAGCTACTTGGGAGGGTGAGGTGGAAGGATCTCCTGAGTCCAGGATGTTGAGGCTATGATGAGCCATGATTGTGCCACTGCACTCTAGCCTGGGTGACAGAGTGATACTCTGACACACACACACACACACACACACACACACACACACACACACACACACCACTTTTAAAAATTATTTAAGAAATAAAGGATATGTGTTAAAACTGCCCACTGAGTGCCTGCCTGCCTGCAAGCAAAAGTAAATGAACCCACACAAAGGCAAATTAACGTTGAACTTAAGACACTGCAAACAAAGAGGAGCTCCTATAAGCCTCCAGAAAAGAAACAGATTTCAAACAAAGGATCAAATATCTGAGTGTTACTGCAGTTCTCAGTTGCACCACCGGAAGCTGGAAAACAATAAAGAATACACTCAAAATTCCGAGGGAAAAAGATTTCCAACCTAGGATTCTATACTCAGCCAAACTATCAATCAAATTCCACAGTAGAATAAAGACATTTTCAGATGAATAAGATCTCCCAACAGTACCCTTTTATTTACACTCTTCCTTAATGAGGAAGTAAACCATTAAAATAAATGTAAGTTGTGGAAAATAACAGAACCCAGAGAAAGAGAGAGGATGAAGGAAATTCTCAGGATAATGGTGAAAGAAGGTCTCAAGACAGTAACCTGACAACAAATCAAAAGTCCAACCTGACCTAATTTGAACAATTCAAAAAGTTCCAGGAAAGATTTATTCAAAGAGATAATATTGATAGACTACTTGATGAATTAGAGAATACAATGATAAGATTTACATAATTCTGGGGGATCTGAGGTTAAATTAACAATATATTGAAAACCAAGCAAACACACAAAGAAAACAAGACTACAAAATGTGCTTGAAAAGTAATAGTGATATACTATTACATGACTCAGCTAGTGAATAGCATTTATGTAACCATTCAGTCTAAATACTGAAGATTTATGGCACCAGAACCATGGCAATAACTGTAGTGTGGGTTGTGGGAGTAGAAAACCTGCGTGTGTACAGTGGGGTGGTGGTGAACGTGGGATAAATTTGTCTTTTGTAGACAGGAGTATAAGATGATGCTCAAACTGAAAAATTAAGAAATAGTAACACAAGTATGTTGAATGGCAATAAAGAGACAAAGGACAAAAGATTCAGCTGCTTGTTATGAGGCTTGTTGTGAGTGTGTTGAAACAATTTCCCCTGGGAAGAAAGGATTAGGAGAAAGAGTAGTCTGGATCTCAGCTCTTCATAACAGGCCTGTAGAACGATTTGACTCTGAAACCAAGTTTAAGCATATTCAACTCTGATAAAAACTAAAACTACATTTAAAAAGCAAAAATTGTATTCATTTACACAATTTTAACCATTCACACTTAAACTCCTAACCAAATAATTGCACAAAATTTAATTGATATGATAACTCAATCTCAGTTTACTTCTTTGTAAGAGAGCTTTAAGATTGCTAGCTTGACTCATGAAACATTATATAACTTTTAAAAAATGTTAGAAAATTATACTTCCTCAATGACACTGCAAATATCAAATGTGGTATCAATGCTAATGAATGTGAAGGAGGAGTGCTTACCATCTGATCCTGGGAGTCCCTGAAGCCCTGGTGCTCCAGGCATGCCTGGTGGTCCTGGACTCCCTGGTTTTCCTGGAGCAGTATCAGGTCTTCCAGGAATACCAGCTGACCCTGGAAGCCCAGGATGACCAGGAAACCCTTGTGGCCCAGGGGGCCCTATCATGCCTGCAAGAGAAATCAAGAATGAAAATCATATATACTCTCAGAGTAAATGTTTCTGTAGAAGAAATGATAATCAGTACATTCTTTCTTAGGTCATGGAATTTTTTTTAAGGAAAATGGATGAAGTTGGAAAACATCATGCTAAATGAAGTAAGCCAACCACAGAAAGAGAAATAGTACATGATCTCACTTATTTGTGGAATCTAAAATAGTCAAGCTGATGGAAGCAGAGAGTCGAATGGTGGTTGTTAGAGGCTGGAGGAAGAGGGGAACTGGGTGATATTGGTCAAAGGGTGCAAGATCTCAGTTGCGCGAAATGCGTAAGTTCCAGAAATTTAATGTACAGCATGAGGACAACAGTTAACAGTGCTCTATTGTATATTTAAAATTTGCTAAGAGGATACATTTAAAATTAAATCTTCTCACCACCCCCACACAAAAATGATAGCTATGTAGGAATGACAGATATGTTAATTTGCTGCAATGTGGTGATTATTTCACATTGTATATGTCTATTAGAACATTAAATTGTAGGCCTTAAATATATATAATTTGTGTATGTCAATGATATCTCAATAAAGCTGTTAAAAATGTTCTAGATGACAGTTTTCAGGAGTAGGAAAAATATATGATATATTAGATTTGCTTTTCCAAAAAGCAGATTACGAGTCATAAAACAGGAGTTATATCATAATGATCTGAATAAAATACATTAAGCAAAAAAATGTAGTTCAAAAATAATTTAACATCCCAGCCATTAAAATGTCTCACCTCCTTTGAAACAAACACACAGGTGTATACAAACAGGTTTGGAGAATCCAATTTTCTTACCCTTCCCCCATTCTTTAGGGTATTGGGGAAGAAATATATTTTATTTAATTAAAATTATGATTTTTTTCAATCTTTCCACCTTGATAAGTTGGTTAGAATAATCTGAATAACCATGCTAGTACATTTTGGGCATACTGGGTAAAAGTGTAAACTCACATAATCGTCTATGTGGGACATAAAATACCTTTCATAGCAGCCCAGGTTGGTGGAGAAGGATGGAAGTGCCAGACTTGAGCCTGGACTCTTCCTCTCTAGCCACAGGAACTTAAGTAGGTTACTTAACTTGTTGGATCCTCTGTATATACCTCCAGAGGCTTGTTACGAGGATTAAATAAAATAATCCATGTAAGGAGCTTAGTGTAATATCCAGCCATAGCACATGCTTAGTGAATGTTCAGATGTTCAGTGTGTTCAGATGAGGTCAAAGTGAGTAATGCAATAGCAGGTAAATCCTGCTTCCCTTAACAGCTTACTCTTCTTGCTTAAAGGTAACTGGAAGACTTCTTATGAAAATGAATGCTTTTCATAGCTGCCTCTTCCTAAGCGTGCTGGGTTCCAAAATCTCTGTGGAAGACTGCAATTTTCAAAGACGGCCACCACAGAAGTTCTGCCTCTTATGCTTGGGTAAAACCTTGACATTTCCCTATCAAAAGGTGGAGTATTTCCTCCCCTTGAATGTGGCTATCAGAAAAGGTGATCCAGCTTCTCTGCCTTGTGAGGTCTGGAGTCCTGAGCTACCATGTAAGCAATCTTGCTGCTCCTCCATGTTGTAAAGAAGTCTAAATCAGGTATAAATACCACATGGGGTGGCTCTGAGACCATATATTGGAGAGAAATGCCCAGCCTGGTCTCACCTTCCAGCTTCAGCCCTTATGAGACTGAGCCACAGTTGCTCAACCTAGCCCTTCCTGAACTCTTGAACTGCAGAAAGAGTGAGGAGTAACATACTGATTCTTGTTTCAAATCACAAGGTTTTGGGTAATTTGTTCAGCAATGGATAACTGAAACCCTGTCAGGAATCAGTAATGCAACATGCTGGCTATCATTATTGTGTCCACGTGTGCTGAGGCTTCACATATATTTGCAAATATTATCTTTACTCCTCAAACAATCCTGCAAAGGTTAAACCTTATAGATAAGGCACTGAAAGCTTAGGCCAGAAATTAGTAACAATGATTGCTAACATACTGAGACTTCACTCTAAACTAGACTGTATTCCAAGGACTGTATACATAATATTTTTTCAACCCTAACAAGACTTCGTTTTACAGATGAGAAAGCTGAGGTATAGAGAAGTTCAATAAGTACCCAAGATCACACAGTTTGTGAATAGTAGAAACTGGAATGTTTCCAACTCGCAGTGTAAATTCCTAAATATTTTACTATTCTATATTATGCTGTATGGCCTCCACTAAGTGACAAGGTGGGCAGTGATGACAAGTGTCTGATTTTAAAACCCTGCTGATCCCATGGTAAATACTGTAGATAATTATCAAATAAAATATGTATAATAAAACCTGTATACACTAGTGTACTTAGAACAGAATGAAAATTTTCCCCTGTGGATTTGGCTGCCATCTTGTCTTCACGACATTTCTAAGACCTGACTTGGATTCTCTACAATTAGTCATTGAATGAATCTGGGCACTAGTCACTGCCTTGCCTCAGGGCCCAGGAGAATGTCTAGCCATCTCTAACATGGAGAATAGGTTACAATGGATGTCATGTCCCAGCCTTGACCACCCAATAGTAGAGCATGAAATCAATAGAGTAAGTTGTGGTCAGCATTAACATTTTTTTAATATTCCAAAAGGAATGAAAAGAATAGAAAATAGGATGTATCACATACCAAAAAGTTATTATTTTGAGAAATTTGTGTCTCAATCAGTCTGGGCGACAGAGTAAGACACCAACTCAAAAAAAAAAAATTGCATTTACTCAAGACTTTTCACAAGCTTAATCAAGTCTCCTGGGTTCACAGACTGCTAATCTCTAAATTTCTATTCCTAATCTTACTAGGAATATTAACCAGCACAGCACCTGAGAGAGTTTAAAGTTCTTATACCAATAGGACTCTTTCCAAGGCTTTTAATCAAAAGTAACTGTGACCTATAGTTTTCTTGCTTTTAATTTTACTTTTTGAGGCAGGAGGAGTCTTATTTTTTAAGTAAGAATGAATCAGAGGTTTTTTTGTTTTTTTTTTTTTGGTAATCCTAATTTTGATTTCCACATTTCATGCAAGAGATTTAAGTTGGGAACTAGGTGGATGAATTAAATTTTACAAGTAGATGTCAACAGGGAGAGCCTTCCAGAGAGTGGGAAAACGTAAGAAAATATTCCAACCCTAGCAATGATTTCCAGATCTTATCTGCATGTGATAATTTTATGGGAGGCCTATTATACATATACATTCTTTACAACCCCCTGCAATATTGATTACTATTTCTGGGGTGCAGCCTGGAAACCTGTATTCCTTCCAAATTAGTGATAGATTGGTTTAAGTTCAGTGGTTCTTAATCCTGACTACATAATTAGAAATGCAGGGGTGTTTTTACAATAACAGATGTCTGGGCCCATTGCCCAGAGAGTACGACATTCTTGGTCTGGGGTGAGCACAGGTATTTTTTTTAAACACTCCTAAGGCGATTTTGATATCTGCTAGAATTCAAAATGGCTAAAAAATAAAATAAAATAAAACAAAACTGCCGCTGTGGATGATGATGTGAGAAATCTGGCACACAAAAGCCAGGGTATCCATACCTGCACAGGCTTCCCCTGGTCTGCCCGGGAGACCTGGGGGACCAGGTGGTCCAATGGCCCCCGTTTCTCCATAGTGGCCTGGGAACCCTGGGTCCCCTAAGGGTCCTGCCAAACATAATGACATGTGAATAAACAGACATATGTTTGCATTTTAAAATTCAAACACAATGACTTTTTGTAAGGCTTGGTAAAGTCTAGTTAGGAGACTCTTGCAGTTTTTTTAAAACCACATTTAATAGAGTATCTTAGATTTGAACTCTTTTGACCTCACCTCCTCTGTAGACACATGAACTTTGAGTTGAGCTCTCTTTGTCATTGATTTAGGCCACTCTTTTCTTGGCGGCAGCATCTTGATAATTGTTAGTCAAAGGGTTTCAGACAATTTTTAACAAAAACGAGATCGGCCACAGTGGCTCAAGCCTGTAATCCCAGCACTTTGGAAGGCTGAGGTGAGGGGATTGCCTGAGCCCACGGGTTCGAGGACAACCTGGGCAACTTGGGGAGAACTTATCTCTACAATAAATCAAAAAAATTAGGTAGGCATGGTAGTGTACATCTGTAGTTCCAGCTACTTGGAAGGCTGCGGTGGACAAATTGCCTGAGCTCAACAGGACGATGCTGGGGTGGCCATGAGTGTGCCATGGCACTCCAGCCTGGGCTGCAGAGTGAGACTCTGACTCAGAAAAAAACCAAACCAATTGAAAAAAAGTTCTTTCTTCAGGGTGACATAAAAATCCCAGCATACAGCAGACATACTGAAATAAAATGTGTTGTCTTAGGTTGATAGAGACTAAGATGAACATCTCTGCCTTCACATGTATGATTATATATTCATGCTAAAGTTCATGCATTTAGCCTACCTAGTGTACAAGCTCTGGGAATACTGGGCCAGACTCTTCTGCCTGGGACACGCAAATCCCATTTCTGCATAATTTATGGAGGAACTGAAGGGAACACAAACCTTTGAGCAAAGGAGCTGGAGTCACCAAAACACCTGGTGGTCCTGGTTGCCCGCGGTCTCCAGGATCTCCCTGAAATCATTAATTCATTCTCTTCTTAAAGAAATATTAATATTTTACTCATGTTGTCTGACATTAAGCAAATATTAGAGGGGCCATGTGCACACCCTATAAGAAGCAAAGGTTGACTAGAGAAACAAATGATTTGTGGATTTCTAGGAGGAGCAAACACACATCCCATCTCCTACCTACAAGTAGTGGAAGTAAGTAACAACTGACAAAGCTATCACCAAAAATAAAAATTAAAAAATTAACTCCAGCAAAATTATTCTGTGCCCATAACTTAGACACCTCTGAAATCATTAAGTTTCTTGGATATACTATGAGCATTAATGTCTAACTTGGCACTCAATGACAAATAACTTATTCACTTAACAAGGTCTGAATCTGCATTTTATTTTAGCAGCAAATGCTGTCCCTTTTAATTGTGTCCCCATGGCTTGTCCTGAGCCAGTGCCAGATGTGAAGTCATAGAGGTTACAAAGGAAATTAAAAAATGCAGTGTTGTTAAAAGCAGGCTGCTCTCCCATACTCCCTTTGTTTTAATCTCAATACTATGCAAGCCCATGGAATTTTTGAAACTTTCATTATTATTCACCTTCCAAGAGATCATTTCTCAAATATAAACCATAATCATGTCTAATATGATACTGATATGATAATCATTCATAATAATGTACAACACGCATTAAAATAAAATGTAGTCAGCTCTCCATGGGTTACACATCTGTGGATTCAACCAACTGCAGATGCAAAATATTTTTTAAAATAAAAATAAACAAATACAAGAAAATAAAATTAATAAACAATATGAGTACAGCATGACAACTACTTACATAAGCATTTATGTTGTATTAGCTATTATAAGTAATCTAGAGATGATTTAAAGTATAAGGTAGGATGTGTGTAAGTTATATGCAAGCACTATGTCATTTGACAGAGTGGGTGTGAGTATCTGCAGACTTGGGTGTCTTGGGGGTTCTGGAACTCATCCCCTGCAGATACCGAGGGATGATTTCTATAAAATCAACCCTATTCCTTTCAAAAATTACATTCTTAAAAGATTCTTTGAAAAACGTTAAAAGTAAATGAGATAACATAGGAATATAACATTTTATCAGAATATACTCAAATAGGCTCACTTTTTTACCTTTGGACCAAGAAATCCAAGTAGCCCAGGGCCTCCAACCAGTCCTGGTTCTCCCTACAAACAAGCACAAGCATGCCTTTTTAAAAAAACTGTGATTGGGTGACAAATTATCTCATTCTCATATAATTTGAACAACACATGCTCACTGAGACTCTGTGCAAAGTCTTAACACTGCTCTTGGGTTGCATCAGACAGTTCTTTTGCTTCAATTTTGCACCCACAGCTAAATCCTGCAATTCACAAAATGAATGTGTCTGCCTTTCCAATTACTGTGTTTGCAGACAACATTACAACTTCTGAATGATGCTAGATTGCGTTCACTAATGAAAATGTATTTATCATCTCTATGATGGTGTATATTTACCTTTAATCCTGGAAAACCTGGAGATCCATGGGAACCAGGCTCACCCTAATAAATTCACAAAAATCAGCACAAGGTGAATTAAATCAAAATGCATAAACCTGCTCAATGCATCATTTTTCACCTTATCAGACAGTTCCATAGGTATTTAGCCTTGTTTGCAAAGGTAACTGAATAAAGGGAAATAAATATAAAATAGATTCCATTTCTTTGTTGTTGCCGTCTTTATTTTTTTATGGAGAAGGTTATGTTGCCCAGGCCGGTCTTGAACTCCTGGCCTCAAGCAATCCTCTTGTCTCATCCTTACAAAGTATTGGGATTACCGGCATGAGCCACCAAGCCCAGTCTTCATTTCTTCATATTTGCTACTTGAAATGATCTTTATATTTATTCAAAATATTCATGTCATTGGTTTAATTAATAAAATTTTTGTTTTCATTATTCTTCCCATTTTAATTTATTTAACTTAATGCTTGCACTGAGCCAAATATCTTTAAAATCTCTGCAATAAAATTAGTCTGGAAATTGTCATTGAAAAATAAAAATGACCATGGAAGCCACTATTGGCCTACTCAGTACGAAATCTAGAGCTAAATAAACTCAGTATCTATGCCTGCTGGTTCTGGCCCTCATGTTGACTCTATGAATGGGTACCCCATTAGTGACACACATGGTGATGTTTGGGGTTCAGCATTATGCTTTGTTCATAGCTACTGATCTTAGATCAGCACCTTATTTTATTAGATAGGCTTAAATTAACTATTCAAAGCCACTGTCACACTGTCACTGAGCCAGATAGGAGATGCCACAATCCTGTTATTTCTTTCCAGTTCTTGTATCTTCTGCTTGTTTGTTTTATCTAAATGATGTCAGCGAAAGAAAAGATGTGCTGGGACGTTCAGCTATTCCATGACTTTTGTCCAAAATATATTGTTCTTATGTGAGGTAGTCTCCATTTTTGAACTCATACTAGAATATCGATCGAATCTTACAGAAATGTGAAAAAAGAAATGCCTCCCAATTCACTGAAGTTAATGATAAACAATTCTTACCCGAGGCCCTGGGAATCCAGGAAGACCTTTCTCTCCTTTTGCTCCAATGCCAGGTTCTCCCTTTTAAGAAATGGCAACATTTAGAGGAGTTCAAGCAAAATATTTCAGCAACAGGGAAAGCAAAATAAAATGTGAAACAAAAATTGTTACTAGCAGCTTAAAGAAAACTAGTGAAGATTAGAAGCCCTATAGGAAGATAATAAAATAGTAAAAAATTTTAGTGAGATATATATAAAATGCATATATAAAATGTATACTAAATGTCTTTATATACATTTAAAGCAATAATAAAGACCAAGTGAAATAACATTTTTAATTAAGATAGCACATCACACAAATTTAAGAAAAGAAGAAAAATATTTAAATAAACCACCTTGCGTCCTGGTGGTCCTGGCAGTCCAATCATTCCAGGAATTCCTTTTATACCCTAAAAATTGCAATGAATATAATCTGATTTATTATTATTAACATACTGCATTCTATCTCTTTCAGAAATCACCTCTTTTGACAACCTGTTTCATTTGATGTTGTTTTAATAAGGGATTACTCTTCACCCGCTCCAATTAGTAACTAAGATCTAAGTACCATTATAAACCTGACACTATTGAGGCCAGTTCTCTGTGTGATAGGTGTGTGGTGCACAGGGCTGGACCACCATGGAACCAGAACAGTAGACACAAGTTGGGAATGTAGCCATTAAAAAAAAATGTGGCTTATTTTGAGCAAGACAGAAGTGTAATCCAGTAATTCAAAAGCTGAACAACTGAACCTGCATGTGACATCAACAATAACAGCACTGGAGACTGACAGAGGAATTAATATTTGCCTGAGTCTATTACTTGCCCAGATCTATGCACTGGTTAATTTTTCAGTTATTAAATCATCAAATCCATCTGTAACATTTAAAAAACAACTGGGCTTCCAGTAGTCTTTCAATCTGCATATCAAAACAACATACATGGGGCACTATATTATGGAGGACTTGTCACAATTTAGCAGCCCGAGCTAGGTCTGCCACTCAGTAGCTGGGTAAACTTGAGAACACTGGTAGCCTTCCAAGTTTCATTTTTCAACTCTGTACAATGGGGCTAATAACAGAACCAACCCTGTTAAGGGAGCTTTGAGACTAGTGTGGTGATACAGATCAGGGCCTCAGCACTTTGCTGTTATAGATATATGTTCAGAAAGTATTTTCTACTACTACTTTACTAAGATAACATGAAATTGGGCATTACCTTTTCTCCTTTATAGAGACAAAAATCAGGAGGCTCTACCAATAGAGTGGGTCCAGGAGAACCTTGCTGGCCAACTTCACCCTTAAAAAAAAAGAATTTCACATTAATTTATGTTTTAAAAATGTTCACCCATGTATTGCAGTATAAAGCTTCCAGTAATGTATGTCCGGATTTAAAATAGGAATCATGGAAACTACATCATGTAGCTTAAAATGATATTTATTGGGCAAGATTGGCAGTAGTGGGAAACTGCCAGGGGAGGAGGGGGCACACCTTATCAACAAGGGTACCTGCATAATAAACATTTGCATACCTAACCTTGAATTATACCCCACATATTTAAAATAAATTTTTTTAAATGATATTTATTGTTTTTCATTTCAAAATATGATACGTACTTATGGTTAAAAATAAATTTTAAAAATAAAAACAATCCTTAATCCTACCATCCAGAGATAATCTCTATTAAAATTTTGTATAGTTCTTTGTGGTGTGTGTGCCTATGTTTATATGTGTGTACATCTATTTGAATACATATGTGAATAAGTCAAAGCATTTGTTAAATGTATTTGAAAATATACTATAATCAGAATACTATAAATAAACATATAATCATAACTTAAAATATACAGCGTTTCATTCAAATTTTAAATATTTAAATAATTATATGTTTATATTTTGTGAGCATTTTTTATTATACTAAAAGTTATTCAGGGTCCTAATTTTTAGTACTTAAACAGTGATCTATCGTAAGGATGTACCGTGATTTATTAAACAATTCCACTCTAGTTAGATTAAGGCTGTTTCTATTTATTTTCAGCAAGGTTTAGGTAGTTTTTAATTTATTTTCTATAATATTTTTAAATAATTTTAAATTCTCTGTAAAATAAGTAACTGAAAATTTTTATTTATGTCATTATAGATAGTATACTACTAGAGAAAAAAACTTTTTTGAATGAATTTCATCACAATACAATCATATATTCTCACCCTTAATCAGAAGATTATTTTGTACCTTTCTGAATATTACTATCATTCTGGACTTAGAATTCTCTTTCCTCTTTGTCATAGTTAAGAATAGGCTGCAGTTCACCTGTAGTTGCAAACCATCCCTTACTGGCTCTGTCATTTGGGCCAAGTTCCTAAAAATCTCTCTCAGCCTTTAGTTCCTCAATGCCTCTAAACCTCACTTTTCTACTCTGTGAAATGGGGACTATAATATTGCCGACCTCATCAAGATGTTCTTTTATTAAATATATAATGCACAAATAATGCATCCTAAATTCAGTAGAACAAAGTAAGTTCTTAAATATACAACTATTAAAATCATCATCAATGTTTTTGATAAATTGATAAATGTTCTTGGGAAAAGAATATGGTTTCAAGTTTAAGTGAAAAAAGAAAACCAAGAATTCAATTTCTACCTAAACCTGGGAAACTGCAGAAAAACCAGGAGGTTAGGAACATTGTTGTTGTTTTTCTTGAAGTGTCCCGATACTTAACAGAGTATCGGTGCAGTAGCTGCCTAAAGATGACTGTTGGATAATAAACCATTGAATAAGCTTATAAACAATACGTGAGTAAATGTGGAATATGTATTAGTAAAGATAACCACACATTCTTGTAGCCGGAATAAACCTGAACAAAACCCATAATGGCAGACAAACAGGCACCTTCTTCAAAATATTGGTCATATGACTATTTTTTTCATACTGTAAAAGTATGGAAAAAAGTATGCTTAGCGTGGCCAAAAGTACAAAGAAGGAAAACTATGAAGAATAAAATGTAAAAGGTCCATAATTGTATCACCTGGGAATAATTAGTAACCATCGTTGAGTGTAGTGCTTCTTAAAATGGGGTAGGCAAACATACTCTTGAACCTCTGAAAATCCTGCATCATAATTTTAACATTATATTTTCATTCACCTGATAATCTAAAAGAATTAATATAAACACATTTGGATCATTTGAATAGAGACCTCATAGTCAAATCCTTCCAAGTTATTCTACAGCCTGAGTTTGCATATGTGCCTAACTGCATAGGTGCAGAAGGTCACTAAGAGCAAGGTGGTAGCAGAGGAACATAGCTACTGCATAGCCTTGACCGAAGAACAGGCTTTTTCCAGTGGGGACGGTCATACTCTTGGACCGAGAGCACAGCTTCAGGGGCGACACATGTAGAGAAGTGAGGGAGGAAAGAGGATACCTGCCTAACTGATTGATTCAAATCAGCTGAATCAACCCAGAGCATCAACGGGGTGACAAATGTCGCAGCTAGATCATCCTCGCATCAATGGGGTAACAAATGTCGCAGCTAGATCATCTTCACATCCCGGGGGTCACTAAAATGCCAATGCTTACTGGTCTCTGCAATGAGTTTCTCAAACAGGGGTGTGCAGGTTTCTGCAACTTTGACATATTCTCATGGTTGTATGACCTCCTAAGCATGAAAAACACTGTTTTGGTGTAGTTTCATACAGTCATTTCTATAAGTCAGAGATTCTCAAGGTGAGGGGAGTAGGTGGACGTGGCTGGACAACCCCTCTCCCCAGAAATATTTGGCAATGTCTCAACACATTTTTGGTTGATGCAATTGGAGTGAAGGGATGCTACTGACATCTAGTGGGTAGAGGCCAGGGATGCGGCTATAAGCATCCTGTAAATGCATGGGAAAGCCCTCTACAACAATGATGTACCAGCAGTGTTGAATTGAGAAATCCCTCTCTAAGTGTATATTTTAATGTCTTTTTTATTATTGTTGCTTTTACAAAGTTGAGTTTATACTTTTGTAACCCAGACTTTCTGCTCAACATTATATCATAAGCACTTCCCCACATCAGGAAGTCTTCTGTATATTTTTGACCCTTGTGCCTTTCTGTTACATGACTGTACCATGTCTTGCCCAATCATATTGGAACTCCACGATGGCAGAGATCAAGTCTGTCTTGCTAAATTTCCATCCCCAGTGTTAGTCCTATCCTGGCACAGAGTAGATGATCAATATCTATTTGCTCACAGTTGTCAAAGAAGCCACTCACCTACTACTGGGTACTTAGGTTGTTTCCAGGTGAGCTGCCACCTTAACTAGCTTTTCTAAAATTTATCCTTACTCAGTGTCCTGCTTAAGCCATAGGGACTGTGGGTATGAGGGAAGAAGGAGTGTGAGGAGGGCTGTGAGAAGGGGAGGAAGTGGGAGATTGTATGTTGCTAAATGCTCTTGGTTCCAGTTATTTATATTTTGCATCTGTATCCATATTTTGGGGTGGAATTTATGATTCTCATGAAATTTGTGAAATTAGGTGAAACGGATTAGTCATTTAACAAACCTGTTACTCTGGATATAATATATTGTCAAAAATGTTCAATCTCTATTTGCGAGGGTGAAATGTGTTATATAAATTAACTTCAATTTTGTGCTAAATTTTGTCAGAACTGTCATTTTATAGTCAATGGTGCCAAAGGGAATGGTGCCATAATAATTAGCAAAGAAAAGTTCCCAGCCATAAAACTGGGAAGTGACTAGATAATGAACATAAGTTCAATCATCGTGAGAACAACCTCCACCACTGGGCAGCACACACTCTCCAACATCTGCTTCTCCACGTGAAAGAGGATTCTTACCGGATCTCCCATTTGCCCCTTTACTCCCACACCAGGATTGCCCTGTGAAAGAAAAGAAATCTAATTTTTCTGAATTTTTTTTAAAAGTTACTAAAAGCAATTAGACTTCCGGTTATGCAAGTTACTGAAGTTTAATGTTTGGGAAGTCTGATAAGAGAAAAGACACAGTCGGACAAATATCAGAGGTCAATTGTTTCATTGTGCATGGCTCCATTTATGTACCTTACTCATGGCTGCCTACCTTCAAGCCTGGACGTCCAGGGTGGCCCAGAGGTCCCTGAATAAAGGGGGGAAAAAAACGTAACTTGATCATTGGTCATAGAAATCAGAATGTGCCTTCTTTGGTTGTCCCAAGGTCCTGTTGAGGAAGCCCTTAATTGTAAAACTTGCATGATAGACTATTACAAATGGACCACTGTTATCTATGAAGATGGTGCCAATGGTTTATTCCCAGAGAACCTGTGCTTCAAGAGGGAGTCCCACTGCTAATGGTGGGCTTTCACTGAGTCATCAGATTATAATCTCTCAAAGAACCCACTTGAGTCTGACCCAAGATGGCGGCTTCGCTTTTCCACTTTATTTTAATGTTGACTCTGGTTTTTTAAGAGACAGAATCAGCAGTGTTGTACTTACCGCTAAGCCTGGCTCTCCGGGATATCCCATGGGGCCTGCTGGTCCTCTTGCACCCCGAGATCCCTAAACATGAAAAAAAAATCAGTGCATTCATTCACTCAAATTGTAATCATCTTTCACAACAGGAATTGCATGTAACTCCAGGTGAATAAAAACCTCTCAAGAAATCACAGTCCCTGACCCATCTGCTCCGCTGGAGCATCTTCAACAGTTTCTCTGACATTGCCCTTAAAAGGGCACAGAGCAACCCTGACCTGTACCCCACATCTTTAAAATTTTTTTTTAAAAAATTTTTAAAGGGTTCAGAGCTAAAGGTAGCAGCACTTGGGTAAGTATGACAAGCCCTTTCATAGAAGATTCGATTGCAACTCATAGATCAGTCTGCCTATTCGCAAATAAATCTTATAATAGCAAAAGTAGAGAACAAAGAGAACTTGTTATTAGTTACTCCTAAATTTCCATCTATGTTATAATTTTTATATATCTCAGGATGCTTTAAAAATATCAATATTAACTGACACTAAACTATTCATGTGTTTTTAAAACATAGATTACAAGAGAAATGTGAATAGAAATATTGTTCCTAATTTGTGATACAGACAAGCCAGCCATAAACAGTTTTAGTTGTGGCAAAATTACACACCAATCGGCAAGAAAAAGTTACAGTCAGGCAGTCCTGACAGTGTAGAGATGTACCCCCTGGCACCCGCTGACTCTGTGCACCTCAAATGATTTGTGAGTGAGTAATGAAATTGGTCTTTAGGAGGATGAGCTGGTATCTATTGTAACAGCAGCATCGAAGTATCACATTTATTATATAGAACTGAGTTTCAGTTGTAGTAAGGAAACCAGCCTGGGAAAGTACTTCTGCTACCAGCCAGAAGTTACAAAGCAAATGTATATAGGTTAACCATTGGGAGGCAAAATTGTTTTCATTATAAATCTTGATAAATTAGAAAGCCCCAAATAATTATTGAATTACACATTTCAGGGACATAAAGGCAGAAAAAAGTACATAAATACTGATTCAGTAGGCAAAATGGTACAAAGAGGCAATGCAAAAATCATTCCATTAGCATATGTCATATGAGGGAGCCCCCCAAAACCGAAATTTATTTATTAAAAATTGTGTATTCATTCTTATATGTTTAAACTTCAGTCACTTTCAAAGTTATTCTCCATCTGAGGCAATACACCTATCAAGATGCTTTTTCCACTGCTCAAAACAGTTTTTGAACTCGTCAATTTTTATGCCTTTTAGTGCTTCTGCTGTCTTTTTGTTTTGTTTTGTTCTGCTTGTTTCATCTCTTCCCCATCGCCAAGACGTTTCCCTTTGAGGACTTTTTTCATCCAAGGAAACAAAAAGAGTCACCTGGGGCAAGATCAAGTGGACAGGGAGGGTGGAGCATAGGGATCATGTCGTTTAGGGTCAAAAACTTCTGAGCACTCAGCATGGTGTGGGCAGGTGCGCTTGTAAATCCGTCATGAAATGGGCAAACACGTTGAAATAATCTCAAAAGAAAAATTCACTGAAGCGAATGCAGCCTCTCCCAACAATGCTAGCTGGCACACTAATGTCGTCAATGGGTTCCAAGAGCACTTACCTAGTGGGGGAAGCCTGTACTACAAGGGTCCCACCCTTCAAAAAATAATTGCAGTTTTTTGGGGGTCCCCCTCATATATGTAGTTGCTAAGAGGACTTACTTTCCTAAATATTGAGTGGCTGCATATACCTGAGGAATGCCAAAAGATCATTAGAAGACAGGTGAGGGAAGTAGGAAACTTGCTGAGATTTAAGGCCGGCTTCATTGGCGGCATTAAGACTTGTGCGGTCACACAGGGACCTGTGTTTGAGTCAGTTCTCTGCTGTCACCACCTTGAAATTCTTAATAAGTTTTGAACAGGGAATCTACATTTTCATTTTGCACTGGGTGAGCCGCCACAAATTACATAGCTGGTCCTGCTGGGATTAAAATCTGCTGTGGATCATAGGCTGTTCAAGGAGGAAATAGGAGCACGTAGCCTGCTCAGGAGACTTACCGGTAAGCCAGGCAATCCTGGGTCTCCTCTGTCTCCCTGAAATAATAATGATGCAAAGCTTTAGAAGAGAACACAATTTTTCTAAAACACAGTTTTGTAAAAACAGAAATCCAGGAATTATTGGGGCTGGTCTACTGTGCAGTTTGTTCAATTTTTTCAGTTTTGAGAAGACAATTGAAGAAGGAGTACATATATGGAAGTGATTTTCTTTCTGCATTCTTGAGCTCTGACTTCTTCTCCTACTCAGCAAAGATTACTGAGTCATGACAACAAGGAAAAGAGACTAGATTTTATCTTTCAGCTTAAATTATTCTACATTCTCAATCCAATGGTCCCATTTCCTCACAGTTTACCCATCTCTAGTTGCCACACCTGGCCTGGTTTTATAAACACCTTGCCCCTCTTGACCACCTTAGAGTGGACACAAAAGGAATTCAGGTAGAAACTCCCTCACACCAGCCTCCATCCACACCCACTGCCATGTGACTTTATGCTGATACTCAGCCTACTTTAAAGGATGTGACCCCTCAATCCCCCTACTGGGAATATACCCTGAAGAACTCAAATCACTTGATCAAAAAGATACCTGCACACGTATGTTTATTGCAGCATTGTTCACAATAGCAAGAACCTGGAATCAACCATACTGTCCATCAAAAGAGGACTAGATTTTAAAAATGTGGTACATATACACGATGGAATACTACGCAGCCAGAAAAAAGAGCAAAATCATGAACTTCACAGCAACCTGGATGGAACTAGAGTCAATAACACTGAGTGACCTCTCACAGAAACAAAGATCTGAGTATCACATGTTCTCACTCATATAGCGGACCTTGAACATCCATCGAAATACTATAAAAAAAGGACTGACAGTGGTGGGAAACTATGGGGGGTAGGGGAAGGGAGGTGGGAGTAATGGTAGTCAATATCTGTCTGGGGACGCGGATACACCCCTTATCAACAAGGGTGCCTGAATGAAGCATATTTGTATACCTAACCCTTAACTGTACCTCACAATATCAAAATAAAAAATATTGATGAAAAAAAAAGGATCAAAGGATGCATAGTCTCTTGAACAGAGGATCTTTAAAAAAAAAGTGTATTATATGTAATTTAAAGTTTAGCATTTTAACAATTTTTAAGTGCGGCAATAAGTACATTCACATTGTTGATCATGACCACCATCCATCTTCTGAACTTTTTCGTCTTCTCCAACAAAGACTCTCTCTTCATTAACACAAACTCCCCATCCTCCTTTCTCTCAGCCCCTGGCAATCACCATTCTTTGTCTTTATGAATTTAAATATTTTGGGGGGAACTCATATAAGTGGAATAATACAATATTTGTCCTTTTGTGATTACTTTATTTCACTTATCCTATCTTCAAGATTCATCCATGTGTCAGAATTTCCTTCTTTTTCAAGATTGAATAATATTCTACCGTATGGATAGACCACATTTTGTTTATCCATTCATCTATCAGGGAACACTTGAGTTACTTTCACTTTTTGGCTACTGTGAATAAAGCTGCTATGAACATGGGTGTATCAATATCTGCTTCAGTTCTTTCTTTTTATTCTTTGGGGTATATATCAAGAAGTGGAATTGTCAGATTATGTGGTAATTCTATGTTAAATTTTTTGAGGAATTACCATATTATTTTTCACAGTGGCTGCACTGTGTTTTACATTCTCCTGAGTATGCACAAGGGTTCCCACTCCACAATTGTTAACGTTGTTTGTTTTTTATAATAGTCATCTGAATGCAGCCAAAGTGGATATAAACTCCTAAGAGCATTGTTTCTCAAGGGTTGTTGATCTACAGACCACTCTTGTTAGGGATCCTCTGTTTCTCCTTAAGATGAGGAACTGCCTTTATTCATCTCTCCCTCTATCTCATTTGTTCTCTGTTGCTACAACTACAAAAATACTCACCATAACTAATATGATATGCTATGTTTCAGTTTACAATGTGCTGCAATATAAATTATTATAACAGATAATCTTAACAACCCTGAGAAGAAGGAAGAGTAGCCATTATTTTAATTTTCCTTTACAAATAAGGAAAATGAGACTTAGAAGGGCTGAGAAGGTTGTTTAAAATCACAGTGAGAAGTAAACATCAATTCACTCCTTCCAATATTCCTTAATGGTTCCTAGAATGACCCTGCTGTTGATGTTTAGCTTATGAATATATCATTTAAGCTATAGGTAAAACCATAGTTCTTGCTGTTTAGCAAATATAAATAGGCAAAGAGGCTATAAAAAAAATACTGTAAGCTAAACCAATACTCTAAGCTCACTAAAGGGATTACCATTCAGGTGTGTCCACTCTGGGTGGCACAGAACTTAAGGTCTAAGAGAAACAATCTAGAACTAGTTTTATCTAATTGTTGAAGAATATTCTTCCTTAAGAGAAATGGCCACACTTCTTAAAAATAGACTGTATTTCCCCTGTTGGTTCATCATTTCCACTGGTCTCCCACTACTTATCAATAGCTTCCCAAATTAGAGAGATGAGGTGGTAAATCAGGAGTTTATTTCTGAGCATGTGTACATCACTACCTGCTAAAAACATAAAAGGATTACATTTATCAAGCATAGTGCTATAAGGTTTTCATAATTTGCAAGTTCAGTCATGGTGATCTTTTATTATACTGCATGGCAAATACTAATATTACAATATTTTATTTACAAATAAATCAATGGTCTTTAACAGGGGGTGGTTCCCCACCAAGGGCCATTGGGTAACATCTGGAGATATTGTTTTAGGTGGTGATTGAGAAATTCTGCTACTAGTATCTAAGGGGTGGAAGCCATATGCCAGGGATGCTATAATATCTTAGAATGTACAGATCAGCCCTCACAACAAAGAATCATCTGGCCCAAAATGTCAATAATGCTAAATTTCAGAAACCTCGACATAAATGTATCCCTTGCAATTTTGAAGATTTTGGAGGTACCAGAATTTTATAACCAAAGCATCTAAAGCTAATGACTTCATTAAGAAGCATGGTACCATTCCAGTGGGCCAGGGTAATCATAAAAATCAGTGTATTTAAGGGTATTTTAAAGGGAACCCTTTCCTGTATGTTTTCTGCATGGGTTTATCTATTGGAAAAAATTTTTTTAACCCATTATGATCATAATACTTACCTGAATACCTTTAATGGCACCTAAAATGAACACTGAATTTCCTTTTTCTCCTTTTTCCCCAGGATAGCCCTGAAAATAAAATATTGACTTAAGAAGAAAATAGCACATTACCATTTCAGTATTTTCTTTTCCAAATGAAATATTACTCATCAGTAAAATTACCAATATAGTCATGTTTACCTAGCAGAGATTTCTTTTCATTATTCATTATTATTATCATCCTAAGGGTCTTATATGTATTTATCCAACAGTCAGTTAAGGTCTGTTAAGGAATCTTCCAAGACAAAGTATCTACTGATATATAGCTATTTACTAATTATTCACCAAGAAAATACATTTTCTTTATACTATAAAGCACATGGATTAATCTTACAACTAAACAATTTTGCAATTATTAATTTATGACCTAGAAATAAATAGTCAATAAACATTGGGTTTTTAAATGCATTTCAGTTCTTGCATTCAAAACAGAGCCTATGTATCCTTTGCAAGACTAATTTTTGCTTTTGTTGTGGTTATTTCTGAGTTGGAGTCTCACTCTGTTGCTCCCGGCCACCGCAGCCTCAACCTGCTGGGCTCTAGCGATCCTTCCACCTCAGCCTTCCAAGTAGCTGGAATTACAGGTGTGTGCTACCACACCCAGCTAATTTTTTATTTATTGTAGAGCTGAGGGCTCACCAAGTTGCCCAGGCAGGTCTCGAACCCACAGGCTCAGGCAATCCACTCACCTCAGCCTCCTAAGGCACGGGATTACAGGCTGAGCTACCGAGCCCAGCAAGACTAATTTTTTTAAAAACATAACTTGCTCCTTTTGGATGGTTTTTGGGTATAGCTACCAATCTTCTTAAGATATTTTTAAAAGGCAAATAAAATAACTCATTGTATTCCTTATCCCCCAAGATTTTCCTACTTAACATCTTAGTATCTTAATTTGGTGACCACATAAAAATCCTACCAGCCTCATATATCAAGCACTTATGAAAGACATACAAATGTCAAAGTTAATCTCTCTTACAAAAGTGCCTAACTTTGTTTCCAATGGGAAATATTTACACGTTTTATGGTAAATTATATCAACAATTTACTAGAGAAATTAGATTTGCTTATACAGGCAGTCCTGGCTTTTCACAGTACCAACTGCACAAATTTTAGTTCCACAGTGAAGTTAAACAGCACCAGCCCTCCAACAACATGGTTCACATTTCAGTTATCATTGTATATTAACTAAGAAATTGCATAAACTACTAATTTCACTGCCAGCTCTTCAGTCCACAAATCACTACATAAAGAACAGATGCAAACCATGATCACTGACTGACCACATCAACTTCTGTCAAAGTCTGTGATTGGTCATTGCACATTTTATTTTATTTGTTTGTTTGTTTGTTTGTTTGTTTTTGAGTTGGACTCTCACTCCATCACCCAGGCTAGAGTATAGTGGCATGCTCATGGCCACCCCGCATTGACCAGCTGGGCTCCGGCGATCCTTCCACCACAGCCTTTCAAGTAACCAGAACTGCAGGTGTGAGCTACCACGCCCAGCTAATTTTTTTATTTTATTGTAGAGACAAGGTCTCACCATGTTGCCCAGGCTGGTCTCAAACCTGCGGGCTCAGGCAATCCTCTCACCTCGGCCTCCCAAAATGCTGAGATTACAGGCTTGAGCCACTACACCAGGCCAGTCATTGCACATTTATTACTCAGTACATTCACACACAGAGAGAGAGAGAGAGAGAGAGAGCACATGCACACGTGCAAAGTTTGTAATAGTGTTGCCTCCTTATCTCCCAGGGATAAACCCAAATGACATTTTACAAAAACAGATAGTTGAAAGAAGAAATAGGCCAACAAAGACAAAAATGAAGCAAAAATGAAAGATGATAATACTGAAAGTGAAATTCAAATAGAATGTAAATATAGTTACAGAAGAAACAGCAGACCATAGGAATATTGACACTGCTGTCATTTGAGAGACCATAGATGCAGCCAGAGGAACTCAATAAAGAGGAACTTATCAACATAAAACAGGAAAGTGGATGTGATAAAAAGGATGACAATGTCCTGGAGGAAGTGACACGGGCAAAAAACCTTCACATTAAAAGGATCCTTAGACATATTTTATAACACTGAAAATGGAGTCTAACTTAGGAGTATGTATGTCTTAGTACTTACTTAGAAAGTACTTCACAAACTAAGAATTACAGACCTCCCAGGCAGCAGGCTAACTGCCTGCAACAAAAACAGAGGGGAGAGGCTGGAGATAAGGGCTCAAGGAAAGATTACAGAACTACTCTGATCTCTTATTTTGACCTTTGGTTTTATCATTCTGACTGGACGAGAGAAAAATCTACACAAATGAAGAAAAACCAAAAGAAGAATATGGGTCTCTCCCAGACTCCTGGGGTGGCAGACACTGAGAAACTGACTTCAGAATGCAAACAATGAAGAGCTCCCAGAATGACTGGTCTCAAACTACAAACCTAGATATCAAGACATTAATGGAGAGATTAAAAAGAATTGAGGAGACTCAAGAAGAAACTAGAAAGGAGCTGATATCTGAGATAACAGTGATAAAGAATACTGTGAATGAAATAAATAACAAACTGATAAGCATGGAAAGCAAAATTATCCAAGCAGAAGAAAGAATCTCAGAGCTTGAGGACCAAAATATAGAACTAACCCAAATTCTCAAAACCACAGAAAACAAGCTCAAAAAGACAGAAAAAAACCTTCAAGAGATGAGCGATTACTTCAAGAGACCGAACCTAAGAGTAATTGGCCTTCCTGAGGCAGAAAGAGAGACAGAGACCACACTGGAACAAACTTTCCATGAGATCATTCAAGAAAACTTCCCTTATCTAATCACTGATGCAAAAATTCAAACACAAGAGATTCAGAGAACCCCTGCAAGACAACAAATGAGAAGACCAACTCCTAGACACATAATAATTCGCCTAAACAAAGTAGGCATAAAAGAAAAAATCGTAAAGGCAGCAAGAGAAAAAGGCCAGATCACCTACCATGGAAAACCAATTAGAATAGCAGCAAGCCGGGCTTGGTGGCTCAGCCTGTAATCCCGCGCCTTTGGGAGGCTGAGGTGAGTGGATTGCCTGGGCCTGCGGGTTTGAGACCCGCCTGGGCAGTGAGACCTCACCTCTACAATAAATTAAAAAAAAAAATCAGCTGGGCGCACGCCTGTAGTTCCAGCGACTTGGAAGGCTGAGGCGGAAGGATCGCCGGAGCCCAGCAGGTCGAGGCTGCAGTGGCCGGGAGCAGCCACTGTACTCCAGTCTGGGCAACAGAGTGAGACTCCAGCTCAAAAAAAAAAAAAAAAAGAATAGCAGCAGATTTATCTACAGAAATCCTGCAGGCTAGGAGAGCTTGGAGCCCTATCTTCAAAGTCCTAAAAGATAAACAATTTCAACCAAGAATAACCTACCTGGTCAAGCTAAGCTTCATCAGTGAGGGAGAATTAAAATCTTTCCCAGATATCCAATCCCTAAGAACTTACGCTGCCACCAAATCACCTCTACATGCAACACTTAAGAAAGTACTAAACACAGAAGAAAAGGGGAAAAAAAGAACAACGTTCTTCACAAGAGTACGGGAAAAAGAATAAAATACATAGGAACCAACCCCCAAAACAAAAGAAAGACAATAAACCAAGTGGAAGGACAACTCTATAAGAACTCTATGATAGGGACAAACTCTCACATTTCAATAATTAGCCTGAACGTGATTGGACTAAACGCACCACTGAAAAGACATAGAATGGCAAAATGGATAAAATATCACCAGGCAACAATATACTGCCTTCAAGAGACCCATCTCACTAGAAAGGACAAGCACAGACTCAAAGTAATAGGATGGGAAACAAATTTTCAGGCGAATGGAACACAAAAGAAAGGAGGAGTCGCAATCCTAATTTCAGACAAAATACCATTTAAGCTATCAAAGATTAAAAAAGAGACAGAGGACCACTACATAATGATAAAAGGTTCACTCCATCAACAAGAAATATTTATCCTAAACATATATGCACCTAACATAGGTGCACCAACTTTTATAAAGTAACTCCTAGGAAAACTAAAGAAAGATATTGCCTCTAACACCATCATAACTGGGGACTTTAATGCCCAACTCACAACCCTAGACAGATCATCAGGACAAAAAATCAGCAATGAGATCCAGAACCTCAATGTGACTTTTGACCAAATGGACTTAATTGATACCTACAGAACACTCCATCCTAAGACCACAGAATACACATTCTACTCATCACCGCATGGAACGTATTCTAAGATCGACCACATAATTGGCCATAAATCAAGCATAAGCAAATTTAAAAGGACCGAAATTCTACCATGCACCTTCTCGGACCACAGTGGAATAAAAATAAACATTAACACCACCAAGGTCTCCCCCAAAACCCACAAAGACATGGACACTAACCAGCATGATGCTAAACAACTCCTACGTCAATGAAGAAATCAAAACAGAGATCAAAAGATACCTGGAAACAAATGAAAATGAAGAAACATCTTACCAAAATCTCTGGGACGCCTTAAAAGCTGTAGTAAGAGGGGAATTTATATCCCTACAAACACACATGAAGAAAATGGAAGCAACACAAATTAACAGCCTAACAAACCACCTAAGGAAGCAGAAAAAGCAAGACTACAAAAACACTAATTTCAGCAGAAGAATCCAGATCACCAAAATAAAAGCCCAAATACAGGACATAGAAGACAAAAAGATAATACACAAAATCAATGAAACAGAAAGTTGGTTTCGAAAGGATAAACAAGATCGATGGTCCCCTAGCTAGACTGACCAAGAAAAAGAAAGAAAGAACCCAAATAAGCACAATCAGAAACAAAAAAGATGAAGTCACATCTGACCCTGAAGAAATACAAAAGATCATTAGAGACTACTATGTACACTTGTATGGAAACACACTTGAAAACCTCAAGGAAATGGAGGACTTTCTGTCATTACACAACCTGCCTAGGTTGAAACCAGAAGAAATAGAGACCCTAAATAGACCAATAACAATCAAGGAAATTGACTATGTAATAAGAAAAAAGCCCTGGACCAGATGGCTTTCCAGCAGAATTCTACAAGACATTTAAGGAGGAGCTGATTCCAATCCTACTGAAGGTATTTCAGGCAATTGAGAAAGATGGAACCCTCCCCAAATCATTTTATGAAGCTAACATCACATTGATACCCAAGCCAGGTAAAGATCCAACAAAGAAAGAGAACTACAGGCCAATATCTTTGATGAATATCAATGCTAAAATTCTCAACAAGATCCTAGCAAACTGGATTCAACAACACATCTCAAAAATCATCCATCATGACCAAGCAGGCTTCATCCCTGGGATGCAAGCCTGGTTCAACATTCATAAAACAATAAATGTAATTAAATACATCAACAGATGTCAAAACAAAAACCACATCATTATATCATTAGATGCAGAAAAAGTTTTTGATAAAATGCAGCACCCCTTCTTGATAAAAACACTCAAACATCTAGGCATACAGGGAACATACCTCAAAGTAGTAAAAGCCATCTATGAGAAACCCATAGCCAGCATACTCCTAAATGGACAAAAATTGGAAACATTTCCCCTGAAAACTGGAACAAGACAAGGATGCCCACTCTCACCACTCCTGTTCAATATAGTATTGGAAGTCCTGGCTAGAGCAATTAGAGAAGAGAAGATAATCAGGGGTCTCCAAATAGGAAAAGAGGAAGTCAAATTATCTCTCTTTGCAGATGACATGATCATGTACCTTGAAAACCCAAGAGAATCTGTCAAAAACCTCCTTACTGAGGAGGCCTTCGGCAAAGTCTTAGGATATAAAATAAATGTGCAAAAAACAATCTCATTTCTTTACACCAATAATAAACAAACAGAAACCCTAATAAAAACCACAATTCCATTCACAATATCCACAAAAAAAATGAAATACCTTGGCATTTTCCTAACCAGAGACATGAAAGACCTTTACAATGAAAACTACAAAACACTGCTCAAAGAAATCAAAGACGACACAAACAAGTGGAAAAATATCCCATGCTCATGGATTGGAAGAATCAACATTGTGAAGATGTCCATCTTGCTGAAGGCAATCTACAGATTCAATGCAATACCTATCAAATTATCGGCAACATAGCTTCTCAGACCTAGAAAAAACAACACAGGAATTCATATGGACACAGAAACGACCAAGAATAGCCAGAACGATCCTCAGCAAAAAAAACAAAGCAGGTGGTATCACATTACCAGACTTCAAACTTTATTATAAAGCTACAATCATCAAAACAGCTTGGTATTGGTATAGGAACAGGCATATAGATCAATGGAATAGAATTGAGATTCCAGAAGCAAAACCTCAATTTCTCAATCAACTCATCTTCGACAAAGCCTCCACCACCTACCAATGGGGAGAGGAGAATCTATTCAGTAAATGGTGCTGGGAAAACTGGCTGACCACATGCAGAAGATTGAAACAGGACCCCTATCTATCCCCATAAACAAAAATTAACTCTAAATGGATCAGAGACCTAAATGTAAAACCTCAAACCATAAGAACCTTAGAAAATGAAGGACATACCCTCATGGAAATTGGAACTGGCATCCAATTCCTGAACAAAACCCAAAACCCACAGGCCATAAGGGATAAAATAGACAAGTGGGACCTCATTAAACTGACAAGCTTCTGCAAAGCCAAAGAAACCATCAAGAGAGCAGGGAGACAGCCTACAGACTGGGAAAAAGTATTTGCCAACTTCAGGTCTGACAAAGGCTTAACATTTTGGATCTACAAGGAACTCAAATGTGCTGAAAAGAAAAAAACAAACAACCCCATTATAAAATGGGCAAAAAAAATGAACAGACACTTCACAAAGGAAGACATCCGAGCAGCCAACAAACACATGAAGAAATGTTCAACCTCACTAATCATCAGGGAGGTGCAAATCAAAACCACACTGAGGTACCACCTAACTCCAGTCAGGATGGCAATTATCAATAACTCAAAAAATAACAGTTGTTAGAGAGGGTGTGGCAAAAAGGGAACACTCCTACACTGTTGGTGGGAGTATAAACTAGTGCAACTTTTGTGGAAAGCAATGTGGTGATTCCTAAAAGCTCTAAAAATCAACCTCCCATATGACCCTGCAATCCCCCTACTGGGAATATACCCTGAAGAACTCAAATCACTCTATCAAAAAGATACCTGCACACGAATATTTATTGCAGCATTGTTCACAATAGCAAGAACCTGGAACCAACCATGCTGTCCATCAAAAGAGGACTGGATTTTTAAAATGTGGTACATATACACGATGGAATACTATGCAGCCATAAAAAAGAACAAAATTATGAATTTCGCAGCAATCTGGATGGAACTAGAGTCTATAATACGGAGTAACCTCTCACAGAAACAAAGATCTGAGTATCACATGTTCTCACTCATATAGTGGACCTTGATCATCCAATGCACTACCATAAGAAAATGACTGCCAGTGGTGGGGAAAGCTATGGGGGGAGGGGAAGGGGGTTGGGGTTAATGGTAGTAAACAACAGTCTGGGGACGGGGAGACCAAAAAAAAAGAAAGTACTTCACAAAGGCATAGAAAACATTTATGTAGTATCATAAGTTATAGGATGAAAAGAAGGCAAGCACTGTCAATACCAGTCTTGGTACATTTTTACATTAAAGAAACTTGAATTCTCAATGTTTCAGATTACAGTGCACTAAATAAATATTAGTTTTTTCCAATTTCCCAATATAACTGACAGTGAGAGAGTTTTTAATGTTATAACAAAACATTTCCAAGGTCAAAGAACAATAGTAATTTTTCTCTTCAGTCAATGAGATTGCTTTGTTTGGTTTTACCCTGAGTGGCCATTCTTGCATTCTTACATTTTTACATTAACTGTGCAAAGCAAAGACTGCCTGTATACTAAAATGAGTTAAGGGGAAGTAAGTTACTTGGCAAACAGACCATATGATAGACTTCAGCATTGTGGTAAGTGCTATGTGCTGTGTTGAAGCTAAAATTGAGAACCCCTGCTCTCTTGAATGCCCATGAATCAGTAACAATGAGCTTTGGCCTGATTCAAAGATCTTAAGAAAAATGCATTCACCAGACTACACGTGACTCTTTAAATGGCTGTTTGAAAGCAAAGTAGTTAAGAAATTTAACAGTAAAAGAGAGTAGCTGTTCTTACTTGGAAAAATGTGCATATGGAAAATTCTTTTTGAGTTCTATGTTCAGACCAGTTTCTCTAGGGGAATGCCAGGATGACTATGGTGATGATGTTAAGACAATCTTTTAGAAGGAAATTTGTGACGTGTTACTTAATTAGGGAAAGGGAATGCTAAAAAAAATTCAAAAATTCAAAATAATTATTTCAGATCTTTCCTTAAGTAAGAAAAAAGGGAAAAAAAGGAGAGAAAGGGAATATAAGGGGAATACTTCTAATGCAAGTTGTATTTAAATAAAAATCAAAGCACAAAAGAAAAAACCAGAGCAGTAAGTTTCCCCAAGTGCTGAATATTGTCAACTGTTTCTGGAAATGTATTCCAAATCTTTTTAAAGGTATCTTCTTGCAATGCAGGGGCTAGAAAGATTAAAAACTACTTTTCCCAGAATCTTTCATAGCTGGCTGTGAATGAGGTTCCACCCAGGAGACATGGAAGCCAGAAGAGAGGAAGAGCTCCTCTTTCCGGTCTGTTGCTACTGTCAAGGACAAAGTAGAGACTTGAGTGTTTGTTTGCAAGTATCTAGATGTGGGTTGAAAGGCAGTGGTTATAGGGCACAAGTGGCTTTCTGACTCTGGATCTCAGTTAAGTGTGATCCCTGAAACCAGTAGTCTTGTGGTGGTTCCTAAATTCTACTTCCCAACCATTACAATAAGTGCCAAACTCCTTGTATCAAATTTCTTTCTGTTTAAAATATCTAGTGTTCTATCTGTAGAGAACTCTAAATTATAAGCAACATGTCTTGCTAATTGGCCTCTCTGCTCCTTTTTCTCACTAGCCAATACTCCATACAGCAGCCAGAGACATCTTAATGAAGCATCTGTCAGATCATGTTGCTTCCTTCATTAAAACCATGCAGTGCCTTTGCCTGACATGGAAGAGAAAACTCAGTCTCTTTCCATTGACAACAAGGCCTGCCTACCTCTCTGTCTTCCTCCCCCATCACCCTCATTTGTTCACAATGCTCTAAGCACACGTGCATTGACTCTGTTTTTTGAACACGCCGAGCCTGTTCCCACTGTGGGGGCTTTTCCCTAAGATTCCTGTTGGGATGAGCTATGGATGTCTTACTGGGGGGCCTCCTGGGCCAGGAGCTCCTCTTCCTCCTGGAAACCCTGGGTCACCTCTTGAGCCATTGTAACCATTCACGCCAGGTTTGCCTCTGGGTCCTGGAGGCCCTGGGTGCCCCTGTGGAAAGCAAAATTATATGTAAAGCATTTGGGTAAAAATTTCATAACACAAAGGTTATACAATATGAATAACCAGATTATGGCAAATGTAACTCACTTGTTTACTTGTTAATTCTTTTGCAACTTTCTTCTTCACCCAAAAGTGCAATGTAGCATAGTAAAAATACAAAGTACTTAATATATCTGAATTTAAATTAATTTAGTTTGGAGTATTCTGAAAGATTTGGAAGGAAACCTTTATTGAAATCCTTAGAAGGACTTCAATGAATTGTAAAGTCTCCAAAACATTTATTTTTCCATTTGATTGTCATATTAGAAATAAGAGTATTGCCGGGTACAATGGCTCATGCCTGTAATCCCAACACTTTGGGAGGTGGAGACAAGAGGATTGCCTGAGTCCAGGGGTTCAAGGCCAGCCTGGACAACTTGGTGAGACCTCATCTCTACAATAAATCAAAAACTTGACTGGGCATGGTGGTGCACGCCTGTGGTTCCAGCTACTTGGAAGGCTGAGGCAGAAGGATCAACTGAGCCCAGCAGGTAGAGGCTGCGGTGGCTCTGATTGTGCCACAGCACTCCAACCTGGGTGACAGAGTGAGACCCTGACTCAAAAAATAAAAGTAAAAAATTTTTAAAAATAAAAATAAGAAATGAGAGTATTAAGACACTTCAAATGCTAGGGCTCACCAGCCAATAAAAACTTTCTTATAAGTATAAATTTATACTTGATATAACAAATATATCTAGCTTATATTTCAAAATTTTTTCTCTAATCTGTTTGACAACCTTGCTCTTAAAATGTTTTGGTTTAGGAGATATTATACAAAACTAAAATGAGAAAATAAAAGAAAATAAAAAATAAAAGTCTTCCATATATACATATAGAGAGAGAGAGAGAAAGAGAGAATCCCAAAAAATGGAATTATCTTGTAGAGAGCGAGTCTCTTGTAGTACGCTTGAAACGTGTTCCTTCCAATCAGTCAACCAAAGTTTTTGTCAAAAGCTTTTATCCAAAAGTTTTGTGGAAGAAACATCCCAAACTGAGGCAAATAAATGACTGGTTCTTTCACCGTGACAATACATCTGCCTACACCACGTTGAGTGTTCAGCAGTTTTTAACCAAAAATGGTATGGTCTCCTTGCCCCATCCTCCCTATTCACCTAATCTCTCTCTGTGTGAAGTTTTTGGTTGTTTCCCCAGATGAAAAAAACCTTGAAAGGGAAACATTTTGCTGATGTGGAAAGGTGAATAAAAACAGCAGAAGTACTAAAAGGCATCAAAATTGACGAGTTCAAAAACTGTTTCAAGATGTGGAAAAAGCATCTGAATAGGTGTATTGCCTCAAAGGGAGAGTACTTTGAAGGTGATTGAAGTTTAAATATGTAAGAATTAATACATAATTTGTTATAAATAAATTCTGGGTTTTTTGGGTCCCACCTCTTACACACACACACACACACACACACACACACACACACACACACACACACATACATATAGAAGTACCAGGTCAAGGAGATATCAGATGATAAGAAGGCTTTATGGGCATGGTAAAGACCTTGACCTTGACTTTTCTTCCAAATTAGAGGAGAAGC